ATTAATTTTAAACCATAAGGTAGTTTCTCATTTTTTAGGATAAACAAATATTTTCAATGATTTTCAAAAAATCATAACAAATTAGCATTTTAATAAATGATTATGGAACTTTCAGTATTTATTAAATCTTTCTTACAAAAAAAAAACAATTTTTAAAATATCCTTTACTTTTTGAGATATAAATTTTAAANCATTTTAATAAATGATTATGGAACTTTCAGTATTTATTAAATCTTTCTTACAAAAAAAAAACAATTTTTAAAATATCCTTTACTTTTTGAGATATAAATTTTAAACATGATAAGATATTTTCCTATTTTTCAAGATAAACAATCATTTTCAAAAAATCATAACAAACCGGAATTTTACTAAATCATTATGAAATTATCAGCATTTGTAATACCAATTATAAGGTTTTCAATGAAAGAAACAGATTTTCAAAATAGTTTATAGTTTTGGAGATATTGATCATTAAACATAATGATGCATTTTCTCATTTTTAGGATAAACAAATATTTTACAAAAAATCATAATAAATTGTAGTTTCAATAAATTTTTATCAAATTATCAGCATTTGCAGTACAAATTATAAGCTTTCTAATGAAACTAACGGAATTTCAAAATAACTTTTAGTTTTTGAGATATTGATTATTAAACGTAATGGGGCATTTTCTCATTTTTTAGGATAAACAGATATTTTCAATCATTTTCAAAAAATCATAATAAATCGTAGTGTGAGTAAATTTTTATCAAATTATCAGTATTTGTAATACAAATTATAAGCTTTCCAATGAAAGTAACAGATTTTCAAAATATCTTTTAGTTTTTGAGATATTGTTCATTAAACATAATAATGCATTTCTCACTTTGTTAGGATAAACAAATATTTCTTAAAAAATCATAATAATTCGTAGTTTCAATAAATTCTTATCAAATAATTAGCATTTANATAAAAAAAAACAATTTTTAAAATATCCTTTACTTTTTGAGATATAAATGTTAAACATGATAAGATATTTTCCTATTTTTCAAGATAAATAATCATTTTCAAAAAATCATAACAAACCGGAATTTTACTAAATCATTATGAAATTATCAGTATTTGTAATACCAATTGTAAGCTTTTCAATGAAAGAAATAGATTTTTAAAATAGCTTATAGTTTTTTAGATATTGATCATTAAACATAATGATGCATTTTCTCCTTTTTAGGATAAACAAATATTTTACAAAAATCATAATAAAGCGTAGTTTCAATAAATTTTTATCAAATTATCAGCATTTGTAGTACAAATTATAAGCTTTCTAATGAAAGTAACGGAACTTTTAGTTTTTGAGATATTGATTATTAACCGCAATGGGGTATTTTCTCATTTTTTAGGAGAAACAGATATTTTCAATCATTTTCAAAAAATCATAATAAATCGTAGTGTCAATAAATATTTATCAAATTATCAGCATTTGTAATACAAATTATAAGCTTTCCAATGAATGTAACAGATCTTCAAAATATCTTTGAGTTTTTGAGATATTGGCCATTAAACATAATGATGCATTTTCTCTTTTTTTTTTGGATAAACAAATATTTTACAAAAAATCATAATAAATCGTAGTGTCAGTAAATCTTTATCAAATTATCAGCATTTGTAGCACAAATTATAAGCTTTCCAATGAATGTAACAGATTTTCAAAATATCTTTTAGTTTTTGAGATATTGACCATTAAACATAATGAAGCATTTTCTCATTTTTTAGGATAAACAAATATTTTACAAAAAATCATAATAAATCATAGTGTCAGTAAATTTTTATCAAATTATCATCATTTGTAATACAAATTATAAGCTTCCAATGAAAGTAACAGATCTTCAAAATATCTTGTAGTTTTTGAGCTATTGACCATTAAACATAATGATGCATTTTCTCCTTTTTAGAATAAACAAATATTTTACAAAAAATCATAATAAATCGTAGTGTCAGTAAATCTTTATCAAATTATCAGCATTTGTAATACAAATTATAAGCTTTCCAATGAATGTAACAGATTTTCAAAATATCTTTTAGTTTTTGAGATATTGACCATTAAACATAATGAAGCATTTTCTCATTTTTTAGGATAAACAAATATTTTACAAAAAATCATAATAAATCATAGTGTCAGTAAATTTTTATCAAATTATCATCATTTGTAATACAAATTATAAGCTTCCAATGAAAGTAACAGATCTTCAAAATATCTTGTAGTTTTTGAGCTATTGACCATTAAACATAATGATGCATTTTCTCCTTTTTAGAATAAACAAATATTTTACAAAAAATCATAATAAATCGTAGTGTCAGTAAATCTTTATCAAATTATCAGCATTTGTAATACAAATTATAAGCTTTCCAATAAATGTAACAGATTTTTAAAATATCTTTTAGATTTTGAGATATTGACCACTAAACATAATGAAGCATTTTCTCATTTTTCGAATAAACAAATATATTTAATCATTTTCAAACAATCATAATAAATCGTGGCGTCAATAATTTTTTATCAAATTATCAGCATTTGTAGTACAAATTATAAGCTTTCTAATGAAAGTAACGGATTTTCAAAACATCTTTTAGTTTTAGAGATATTGATTATTAAATGTAATGGGGCATTTTCTCATTTTTTAGGATAAATAGATATTTTCAATCATTTTCAAAAAATCATAATAAAACGTAGTGTCAGTAAATTTTTATCAAATTATCAGTATTTGTAATACAAATTATAAGCTTTTCAATGAATGTAACAGATTTTCAAAATATCTTTTAGTTTTTGAGATATTGATTATTAAATATAATAAAGCATTTTCTCATTTTTTAGGATAAACAAATATTTTTAATCATTTTCAAAAAATCATAATAAATCGTAGTGTCAGTAAATTTTTATCAAATTATCAGCATTTGTAATACAAATTATAAGCTTTCCAATGAAAGTAACAGATCTTCAAAATATCTTTTAGTTTTTGAGATATTGACCATTAAACATAATGATGCATTTTCTCCTTTTTAGAATAAACAAATATTTTACAAAAAATCATAATAAATCGTAGTGTCAATAAATCTTTAGCAAATTATCAGCATTTGTAACACAAATTATAAGCTTTCCAATAAATGTAACAGATTTTCAAAATATCTTTTAGATTTTGAGATATTGACCATTAAACATAATGAAGCATTTTCTCATTTTTAGGATAAAGAAATATATTTAATCATTTTCAAACAATCATAATAAATCGTAGCGTCAATAATTTTTTATCAAATTATCAGCATTTGTAGTACAAATTATAAGCTTTCTAATGAAAGTGACGGAATTTCAAAACATCTTTTACTTTTTGAGATATTGGTTATTAAATGTAATGGTGCATTTTCTCATTTTTTAGGATAAACAAATATTTTCAATCATTTTCAAAAAATCATAATAAATCGTAGTGTCAGTAAATTTTTATCAAATTATCAGCATTTGTAATACAAATTATAAACAATCCAATGAAAGTAACGGAATTTCAAAATATCTTTTAGTTTTTGAGATATTGACCATTAAACATAATGAAGCATTTTCTCATTTTTTAGGATAAGCAGATATTTTCAATCATTTTCAAAAAATCATAATAAATCGTTGTGTCAGTAAATTTTTATCAAATTATCAGTATTTGTAATACAAATTATAAGCTTTCCAATGAATGTAACAGATTTTCAAAATATCTTTTAGTTTTGGAGATATTGACCATTAAACATAATGAAGCATTTTCTCATTTTTTAGGATAAACAAATACTTTTAATTATTTTCAAAAAATCATAATAAATCGTAGTGTCAGTCAATATTTATCAAATTATCAGCATTTGTAGTACAAATTATAAGCTTTCGAATGAATGTAACAGATTTTCAAAATGTCTTTTAGTTTTTGAGATATTGCCCATTAAACATAATGAAGCACTTTCTAATTTTTTTAGAATAAACAAATATATATAATTATTTTCAAAAAATCATAATAAATCGTAGTGTCAGTAAATTTTTATCAAATTATCAGCATTTGTAATGCAAATTATAAGCTTTTCAATGAATGTAACAGATTTTCAAAATATCTTTTAGTTTTTGAGATATTGATTATTAAACATAATAAAGCATTTTCTCATGTTTTAGGATAAACAAATATTTTTAATCATTTTCAAAAAATCATAATAAGTCGTAGTGTCAGTAAATTTTTATCAAATTATCAGCATTTGTAATACAAATTATAAGCTTTCCAATGAATGTAACAGATTTTCAAAATATCTTTTAGTTTTTGAGATATTGACCATTAAACATAATGAAGCATTTTCTCATTTTTTAGGATTAACAAATACTTGTAATTATTTTCAAAAAATCATAATAAATCGTAGTGTCAGTAAATTTTTATCAAATTATCAGCATTTGCAACACAAATTATAAGCTTTCCAATGAATGTAACGAATTTTCAAAATATCTTTTAGTTTTTTCGTTATAAACAATTATTTTCATTCATTTTTATCGTAATAAATTATATTACCCTGTTATGCTGTTAATTTACCTCTTCTCGACGAAAGGCTGTATCAGCATAAAAGAACCCCGATGGTGCTGTATATAGACGCGAAGGTTTGTAATTCACATCTTTCATGGTTTAGAAGGAGTTATGAGTCTCCAAGGAGAAATTTTAGTGTTACGTAAACCCAAAAAGCAAAAACAAAATATAAATACAATTCTTAGATACCTTAATTTGAAATGGGATAAAATTTAACAATTTTAGTTAGAGAAACCTCGTTTTGTTTAATGAATGAATTGAGTTGGTTAAGATGTTTGTTGTGAAAAAGGTGCGTTAAGTGATGGTAGAAGTGAAAATTAACTCGAAGAAGTTTACCATTCCAGAAAGTTGTGCCTGTCAACTGTAACGTACCTTGACCGAACCATACCCAGTTAGGTATATAAAGCTGCGATGGTACACCACGAGGTAGTTCTAAAGCGAAAGTCGGCGGATCCAAAATGAAGATCTTGGGATTAACTTTCCTCCTTATCGTATCTGTCTCATCTAAAGTAAGTTTTAAATTTAATAAATTTAATCAAGCTAATTTAAATTTTATTATCTCTTAAAATAAAAAATTATTTCATCATTTTCGATTGTTAGAAAGGACTTTCACTTTTCAAAGTAACACTTCCTGTTTCATTCTCATGTGATTTATAGTTTCACCTTCTTCTAAATTTTTTTTCAAGGATAAATTAACCCACGAAGAGCTACAAAAGTTCCGTGAAGAATGCGTGAAACAAACCGGTGTAAATGATGAGTTAATAACGAAAGCGGATGACGGTGATTTTGCCGATACAAAAGAATTAATGTGTTTCTCGAAATGTTTCTACGATAAACTGGGTTATTTGAAAGAAGACGGAAGTTTAGATTGGGACGTGGTTAAAGAGATATTTGCGGACGATAAGACTCACGCTTTACCAACTCTCGAGGCGTGCAGAGATCGCAAAGGAAAAAGTGCTTGTGAAACGACCTATTTGATTCACAAGTGTTATTTCTTGGCGTCTCAAAAGATTTTAGCCGAATCAGAACAAAACGCTAAAAGCTAAGGAATTAAAAAATTGATGTGTAAGGGTTTTAGTAGAACTTTGGTTTGGTTTAGTGAAATAACGATTCTTTTATGTATTATATTTTATAATGTTATGAAAAATTTATTTGTTGGTATTTATGGAAATGCGATATGTGATATTAAAATAAAGTATTTAATTTTTAAACAAACTTTTTTACTTCTCGAAAAGTAAGAATTACCTTATAAAAGTTCCGGAATGAATGATGAATATTACTGAGTTCTGCAGCAAACTTTTTGATTATAAATTTCGCATTAAATCTTCCTTAACACGACTGGTAATTTAAAAGTTTTTTCAAGAATGGCATAAATTCGACTTATATAAAATATTTTAAAATATCAATTCTTCGTTATATTATTAAATGCGAAGAGTCAAGATCCTCTACAGCGATGCTTGCCATTCACTTTTCTTAAACTTTATGTCTCTGTTTGTATAAAAATATGGAGTGGTTAACACTCAACTTTCCCGCGATCTTACATGGCACCGTTTAACGGACAAAATTGGGAAATAACTCTCGTTGAAAGATGAAACTAAAAGTTTATTTATCTCGATATACAATACCAAGTGATGGTTAAGAAGGAAACTCTTAAAGTGATTAATTTTTAACAATTTGATATAGCAAAATAAATTTCACATACAAAATTGAATCATAAAAATCATTTTAGATAAACAAGCAGAAAATTGCTGATTATTTTTTTAATTTTTAAAATTCCTTCGAGAATGTCTGACATTATTGCGAAATTGATTTTCAATGTAACAAGTTATAAAAGAAAAAATTGCTTTTCTGATTAATTGAATAAAATCAGCTCCCTTCAAAGATTCACGAAGTATTAAATCTGGTGAAATTTGCTTCCCTTACCAATATTGCTTCTACAACGATTTTGTATAGAATAAAATTGTTAAATTGATAGTTTAATTATCAAATATGTTGAATTTGCGGATGTTAAAAATGTATGATGTATTATTTTCTTTTAAGATCTATACTTTAGTCGCAACATTTCAATTATTACCCCTATTTGGTTACCTAGTTTATTAGTTTCTTGATCATCATAATCCAGTCCTTAACATCCATTGCTTCCTAACCCTCAATAAAGGTCTCCCTAATTTTTGACTCTTTATCCTTCCTGGTCTGTATTTAGTTTGTCGTTATTTGTTAGTATCGTCAGTAGGGTGTGTGGGTGATCTTTTTCTACTTTTCTTAGGCCAGTATTTCTAACATAAAGTTTGATGAAAAATATTATGGAAAATACTTTGTCGATTTACACTACGTAATATATTTGTCCAAATTATTACACAAAATGGATGAACAACAGTTTTTTGCTTTTGGTGGCTAACACCGAGCAATGTCACAAGAAGGAAAAACGGGTTTCAAAATCATTTCTTGAGAGAACTGAAAAGTGAAGACCCGAACCATAACGAAAACTATTTAAGAATGGATGAGAAGACCTTTTGTTTCTTGGCATCTGAACGATATAAATTGATTTCAAAGACAGGTACTGAGTATAAGCGTGAAAGATTGCCTTATTGCAACACTTAGATTCTTAGCAACTGGTGAATCTTATTCTTTTCTCAGCCAGATACTGACATCTTAATCCACTGATTTTCTTCCTTACATCTGTTGCTGTACAACCTTCAACAATATCACTTATAGCCGCAGCAATTAATTGATAAACAAGTAAACGTTTGTGTCTAATTTTATAGTCATTACTTTTGACATTGTACAACAAAAAAAAATTGTCAGATGCCATTTTGATTCCAAAACTCATAATATGTTCTGTTGATGAGAACATATGGTCATAGACATATTATCATATTTAAACTATTATAATATTTGGTATAAACTTTGGCAGTGTAATATTTTTCATCAACAATATATGATAAGAGATCTATAATATACAACTATGATATTGTAATACCGGCCTTATCCATTCTCTGTCTCCACGCGAGCAGTCCTTTTGTCCATCTTCCATCCTTCAAACAGGCAACATGACCTATCCAATTTCATTTTAGTTCTGCAATTCGGGCAATCACATCAGTTACTCCCGTGCTTCTTAGATCTTTGTAGTTACTCGCGAAGCGAATCAAAACACCAAGGATTGACCTCTCTATTTTTCTCTCTGCAATTTGAAGTTTTTAACTGGATATACGCATTGGTCAAATATTTTGCGTTTGAGATAGATTAGCAACTTACTTTTCAAGATATCCTTCAGTTTCAATTCCTTCAGCTTCATTTCTAAATCCTTATTTCGTATCTATGGCTCTTCAACCTGAAGCGGGCCCTGGCTTCCTTACAGATTAGGGCAAAGCCCAATCTGTAAGGATTCGTAACAATTTGCCTTTTTTCCGACGTGTTAATCACGCGATCAACCGCTTAGGGCCTAAGAGGACAGGTGATTGATACTCGTAAATAAAACTAACCTTACCCAACATTTTTTTCTGGACATTCGATTGACATTCGTAAACAAAACTAATTTTATTCAATCCTGCCTTCAAATTGTCAGTTTCTAACTTGGATACGAGACTAATTGTTATTTGCAATCACTCTTGCTGAACAACCATTGCATGCTCATGTTCCACCATAGCTGGTTCATCTATCCCAAGAAGTTCTGATTGACTTCTAACGAAGTGATGCTGAGTCACTTCCTATTGTCCTTTCATATCCTTATTGTTACTTGTTCTTTATTTGTAAGCGAATCTTCTACATAACCTTCGACAATATTTGAAAATCGCCATACTCCATGTCTTTTTAGGGTTAAAATGTTGGCAGAAGCATTTGCGAGGAACGTGGCGGATGTTCTAAGAAAATAGTGACCAGTAAATAAATGCGTATCTTGTAATTTTAAGAAATTAGCTACATCTCTGGATTTTAAAATAGCAAATAAAGTTTTATACCTACACTGAGGGAAATTATTCTTGACTCTTAAGAAAAATCGATTCTGAATGTATTTCTTAGAAACAAGTATAAGATACTCTTAAAACAAAAATATTTTTTTGTTTTAAGAATAGAAATATTATCGAATGAAGTACGTCATCTTCTTAGCATCGAAGAATATCAATTTTTTGTATCAAAAAATCCATTCTTGCGTCAATAATTTATAATACTCAAATGAAGAATTATACAAGATTGTTGTTACATGAATACATTTTNTGTCGGCGGAGCGTACTTTTATCAACCGATTGAAATACGAGATCACTACTTTTTCTGTAATAATTTTTACGTCTTTGATCTTCTCAACTTGTATGTCTTTCCATCCGACATGCACGTCAGTGAAAAATTTTAGTTTCCTCACTTGTACTGTAATATACTATTACACAATATTTCTTTTTGGGGTTAATTGATATTCATATTCAAAACTAACCTTACCCAACATTTTTCTCCGGATTGATTAACATTTATAAACAAAATTAACCATACTTATCATTTTCGGGGTTGATTGACATTTGCAAACAGAACTAACCTTACTCAACATTCTTGTCGGGTTAATTGACATTTACAAACAAAACTAACCTTAATCAACATTCTTTTCGGGGTTGATTGGTATTCGTAGGCAAAACCAACCTTACTCAACATTCTATTCGAGGTTGATTGACATTTGAAAACAAAACTAACCTAACTCAATATTCTTTCTGAGTTGATTGACAATCGTACGCACAAAACTAACCTTACTCAACATTCTTTTCGAGGTTGGTTAACATTTGAAAACAAAACTAACCTTACTCAACATTCTTTTCGTGGTTGATTGACATTTGCATACAAAGCAAACTTTATTCAACATTCTTTGCGGGGTTGATTGATATTCTTAAGCAAAACTAACCGTACTCAACTTTCTTTTCGGGGTTGATTGACATTTGTAAACAAAACTAACCTTACTCAACATTCTTTTCGGGGTTGATTGGTATTCGTAGGCAAAACTAACCTTACTCAACATTCTTTTCTAGGTTGATTGACATTTGAAAACAAAACTAACCTAATTCAATATTCTTTCTGGGTTGATTGACACTCGTAAGCAAAACTAACCTTACTCAACATTCTTTTCGTGGTTGATTGATATTCTTAAGCAAAACTAACCGTACTCAACATTCTTTTCGGGGTTGATTGACATTTGTAAATAAAACAAATCTCATTCAACTTTTTTTTTGGGTTTGATTGACATTCCTAAGCAAAAATAACCTTACTCAACATTCTTGGACATTTGCAAACAAGACAAATCTCATTCAATATTTTTTTCGAGGTTGATTCACATTCGTAAGCAAAACTAACCTTATTCAACATTTGTTTCGGGGTTGATTGACACTCGTAAGCAAAACCAACCAACATTACTCAACATGTTTTTTGGATTGACATTCATAAACACAACTAACATTAATTAGCATGTTTTTCTTGGTTGATTGACATTTCTAAACAAAACTAACCCTACACAACATTCTTTTCGTGATTGATTGACATTAGTAAACAAATCTGACCTCACGAAACATTTTTCCCTTGGTTGATTGACGTTTATAAACAAAACTAACCTGAGTCAAGATTCTTTTCGGGATTGATTGATATTCGTAAACAAAACTGACCTTACTAAACATTCCTTTCGGGGTTCATTAACATTTGTAAACAAAACCAACCTTACCTAACATTCTCTTCGGGGTTGATTGACATTAGTAAACAAAACGTACCTTACACCAAGGTACATGAATATAAAGTATGCTCACACGGTGAACGAATTGTCTCTCGCATGTCATAACCGCATCATAGCCATTTTAAACAAACCTGTACTTACTATAGTAGACAATAGTTAATAGTTGTTGCTACGCTATGACACGGTGATGACATACCAGAGCCAATTCGTTCACCATGTGAGCATACCTTATATTCATCTACCTTGCCTTACACAACATTTTTCCCTTGGTTGACTGACATTTATAAACAAAACTAACCTTACTCAACATTCTTTTCGGGGTTGCTTGATTGAAAACAAAACTAACCTAACTCAATATTCTTTCTGGGTTGATTGACACTCGTAAGCAAAAAACTAACCTTACTCAACATTCTTTTCGAGGTTGCTTGACATTTGAAAACAAAACTAACCTTACTCAATATTCTTTTCGTGGTTGATTGACATTTGCAAACAAAGCAAACCTTACTCAACATTCTTGTCGGGTTGCTTGACATTTGCAAACAAAACTAACCTTACTCAACATTCGTTTCGGGGTTAATTGGTATTCGTAGGCAAAACTAACCTTACTCAACATTATTTTCGAGGTTGATTGACATTTGAGAACAAAACTAACCCAACTCAATATTCTTTCTGTGTTGATTGACACTCGTAAGCAAAACTAGCCTTACTCAACATTCTTTGCGGGGTTGATTGATATTCTTAAGCAAAACTAACCTTACTCAACTCTCTTTTCGGAGTTGATTGACATTTGCAAACAAAACAAATCTCATTCAACATTTTTTTCGGGGTTGATTGACATTCGTAAGCAAAACTAACCTTACTCAACATTTGTTTCGGAGTTGATTGACACTCGTAAGCAAAACCAACCAACATTACTCAACATGTTTTTTGGATTGACATTCATAAACACAACTAACATTACCTAGCATGTTTTTCTGAGTTGATTGACATTTGTAAACAAAACTAACCTGAGTCAACATTCTTTTCGGGATTGATTGATATTCGTAAACAAAACTGACCTTACTAAACATTCCTTTCGGGGTTCATTAACATTTGTAAACAAAACCAACCTTACCTAACATTCTCTTCGGGGTTGATTGACATTAGTAAACAAAACGTACCTTACACCAAGGTACATGAATATAAAGTATGCTAAGACGGTGAACGAATTGGCTCTCGCATGTCATAACCGCGTCATAGCCATTTTAAACAAACACATACTTACTATAGTAGACAATAGTTGTTGCTACGCTATGACACGGTGATGTGATGACACACCAAAGCCAATTCGTTCACCATGTGAGCATACCTTATATTCATCTACCTTGCCTTACACAACATTTTTCCCTTGGTTGACTGACATTTATAAACAAAACTAACCACCATTTGACCAACTAACCACCATTGGTCGACCATTTGTGCCAACCAGATGGGGAAGGTTTTTTAAAGTACAAATGAACATATTTGAGCTTTTTAAGGTTTCAAACTACCATTCAACTCTCATTGTATTATATTTTTTTAATATCATGTGATTTAGATTTGTACTTTTGGATAATTTTCTCAAAAAGTTATTGGTAATTTCCTTTCAACAAAAGATTATAACATTTATGTTATATTACCATTATTTCAAATTAAAATAAAAAAAAAATATTTTTAACATAACAACTGTATTGTATACTTTTAAAGTTGCTGTTTTGTTCTTGAAATTTTCCTACTGTTATAAATAATAGGTTATGTTGTAACTAGGTTAAAACAAGAAAAACATCCGCTAATTAGGAATTTACCAAATAGAACAATTACGTAAAACACGTGATTGTGCAAATTGATAATTGCCCATAACTTTTTATCGCTGGTGACCGGTTAATTTCTGCACTATAGTTTTGTTGCTTTTATATAATTTCAACTCTAACCGGTAATTTTAAATTACCGGTAATTGGAACCAATGTTAATTTATAAACTCAATTATGTTTTAATTCACTTAAATTATCTTTTCAATGTAATTATGGATATTATAACACTTCTACAACATTTCTGCACAATTTTAATTATTTAAAATTTTATTTTGGGGGTTTAAATCATATAATCCTAAAAACAATTTCACACATCTAATTAAGAGCTCTACACGACCCTCCATATCGAAAGCCCTTTGGATTCTGAAAGTCACGTACAACGGCTAAACTCGAGCAGTATAACTTGGCAATTTTGTCCAATATAACACACTCCGAGCACGTATACGTGATTCTCTCCTTTATTCAGCTAGATAAAGCCTAAGGTGGGCGTTTTCCACATTTGACACGATTGCGGTGGGACCAATTATTTGATTAAAAAGATTGTTCGTGTCTTTCCACGAAATTTCTCGAGGAGGTGAAGGTATAAAAACGGGTAACTGGGGGAAAATTTTATAAATTTCAGTTCATCGTGTCACGGTTGACGTGTAGCGTGAAGAAATAACATGGCTACAATAAACTGGGTGCTCTCGGCTGCTTTGTTATTGTGCTTGTCGTGGGGAACAGTGAGTATTTTGTTCCAAAAACGGGAGGGATGGTTATCAAGCCTTTCATTCCCTTTTCAAAGCTACAGACCTTGTTACATTCATTGTGGACTACATTTCGACCTTCCTTACTGTGTTAAGTTAATGATCCCAATTTTTTCTTTATAAAACCATTCTGTTTTACGTTCTAGTTTTTTTTTGTCAATTTATTTTAGCATCACTTTATCTTGGTAACTGAACCATTTATTATAAATACAATATCGACCTTATACTACAGCTTTTAGAGGCAAATTGCATCCCCTTAGCAAGACGTTGGTTGATGCCACAAACCGACGATATCGCTCCGTTTCCTTCCTGTGCAAAATGGCAAACGTCTTTTTCCAAAGCCCTCGGGATTAGTTCGACAGGTTCTATCTCCGAGATTTAGGGGCATGGTCGTAGTTGCGGCGTAACGAACGGCTTCGTGAGCCTTCAACGTAATTACGGCAAGGTCTAAAGAACAACCGCCCGAAGAAACACATTGCCTCCGACGTACACAACACAAACAGTTTGCGAGAGAATGCCCTGCCACTTTCGAGAATTAATTTCAGCACTTCTCTCTCGGATTCTTAATCTTAACTCGACCACAATGAAAATTACCCAAGACAAAGGGGTTGCAATTTACTGCAATTTATATGAATAATGTCAATTAATTTTTTTAATTTTTTAAATGAATGAGCACGCAATTAATTCCCATTACTTCCAATCATTAATTCCCATTGAAATATTAACAGTTCGTTCGGTCTATTTGGCACGATTCCAACCCATTTTCAGCTTATTTAAACCATTCGTAAAGAAACGGTTTCGTTTTACGTAAACCTAAATCACACGACTTTTGCACCACCATAAAATGAAAAAAGAATCACAAAAAAATCTGGATAAGATTCAAACCGTTTCTTCTTGTGCAGGTTTTAACCGAAACGTCCACTGATAAAGTGCATAAAAAAGTTTGTATCAGGGAGTCTGAGGTCAACCCGTCGCTTGTTGAAAAAGCCTTTGACGGCGACTTTGCGGATAACAGGGAGCTGAAGTGCTTTTTCCGATGTTACCACGTCGAATCCGGCTTCATGAACGACAAGGGCGAGATACAAACTGATAAAATCAAGGCTAAAATTCCAAGCAAAGTCGACAAGAGAGTGATTGGGCAGGCAATCGATAGCTGCAGGAGCATTAAAGGATCCGATTCTTGCGAGACAGCTTATAAATTGCAAAAATGTCTTCACGAAAAGAAAATTGATTTTGTAGGAGTTTAGATTGATTTTGGTATTTTGGAATTAGACAAAATAGTTTTAAGAAATAAATATTTTAGTGAGGTAGTAAATAATGAATAAAACTTGAACTAAAACGATTTTTATTTTTTATACTCCTAAACATGTCATCTTTGCTTTAATAGAGCATTCTTGAAATCTGCAAACTTCGATGTTATGATGTTTTAAATTCAACTCTGAATATCCGCAATAATTGACATTAAATTGAAAGACATCAATAAAAAATCTTAAATCTTAAACAATCTTATCTCAAGAACCAACTGAGATATTAGCATGAGGTAACAAGTATATTAAAGCAAATTTAATTAACATTTTCCATATTTAAAGTCATACTTTCAAATCTTCAAATTTTGGAGTTATGGTTTTTTAAAGTCAACTGTAACAATAAATGACGAGAAATTGAAAGACAACAATTTCTAAACAATGACATCTCAAGAACTAACAGAGATATTAGCATGAGGTTAGAAGCATATTGAAGCAAATTTAATTAATATTAAACCTGTATAAAGTGATACTTTCGAATCTTCTAGTTGCAAGGTTACGATTCTTTGAAATTAATGAAAATCATATAAATTAGCTTGAATCACATGAATATTTATGGAATTGTATCTCATAAACTAATTGAGATATCAGTGTAAGGTAGCAAACGTTGCATAGCAAATTTAATATATATTTAAGGTGGTAATTGTTGTTTCTTCAAATCTGCAAACTTCCGTGTTATGATTTTTTAATGTCAATTTGACTATAATTCACATCAAATTGAAAGACAATAATTTTTAAACAATGATATCTCAAGAACTAACTGAGATATTAGCATGAAGTTAGAAGCATATTGAAGCAAATTTAATTAATATTAAACTTGTACAAAGTGATACTTTCGAATCTTCTAGTTACGAGGTTACGAATTATTGAAATTAATCAAAATCGTATAAATTAGTTTGGATCACATGAATCTTTATGGAATTCTATCTCATAAACTAATTGAGATATCAGTGTAAGATAGCAAAGGTTGTATAGCAAATTTAATATATATTTAAGGTGGTAACTGTTGTTTCTTCAAATCAGCAAACTTCCGTGTTATAGTTTTTTAAAGTCCACTCTGACTATAATTTACATCAAATTGAAAGACAATAATTTTTCAACAATGATATCTCAAGAACTAACTGAGATATTAGCATGAGGTAAGAAGCGTATTAAAGCAAATTTAATTAATATTAAACTTATACAAAGTAATACATTCGAATCTTCAAATTTCGAAGCTATGATTTTTTGAAATTAATGAAAATCGTATAAATTAGGTTGAAACCGGTGAATCTTTATGGAATTGTATCTCATAAACTAATTGAGATATCAGAGTAAGGTAAGAAGTGTTGTGTAGCAAATTTAACATATATTTAAGGTGGTAATTTTTGTTTCTTCAATTCCGCAAATTTCCGTGTTATGATTTTGCAAATTCAACTCTGAATATAATTCACATCAAATTGCAAGACAACAATTTTTAAACAATGATATCTCAAGAACTAACTGAGATATTAGCATGACGTAAGAAGCATATTAAAGCAAATTTAATTAATATTAAACTTATACAAAGTGATACTTTCGAATCTTCAAATTTCGAGATTATGATTTTTGAATTTAATCAAACTCGTGTAAATTAAGTTGAAACACGTGAATTTTTATGGAATTGTATCTCATAAACTAATTGAGATATCAGTGTATGGTAAGAAACGTTGTGTAGCAAATTTAACATATATTTAAGGTGGTAATTGTTGTTTCTTCAATCTTGGAAATTTGGCTGTTATGATTTTGTAATGTCTACTTTGACTATAATTCACATCAAATTGCAAGACAACAATTTTTAAACAATGATATCTCAAGAACTAACTGAGATATTAGCATGAGGTAAGAAGCATATTAAAGCAAATTTAATTAATATTAAACCTATAGAAAGTGATACTTTCGAATCTTCAAATTTCGAGATTATGATTTTTTGAATTTAATCAAAATCGTATAAATTAGGTTGAAAAGTCAACTCTGACTATAATTCACATCAAATTGCAAGACAACGATTTTTCTACAATGATATCTCAAGAACTAACTGAGATATTAGCATGTGATAAGAAGCATATTAAAGCAAATTTAATTAATATTAAACCTGTAAAAAATAATACTTTCGAATCTTCAAGTTTCTAAGTTACGATTTTTTGAATTTAAGGAAAATCGTATAATTTAGTTTGAAACACATAAATGTTTAAGGAATTGTATGTCATAAATTAATTTAGATATCAATGTAAGGTAGCAAACGTTGTGTAGCTAATTTAATAAATATTTAAGGTGATAATTGTTGTTTTTTCAAACTTACAAATTTGGCTGTTATAATTTTTTAAATTCAACGCTGACACTAATTGACATCAAATTGAAAGATGACAGTCTTTAAATAAATTTATCTCAAGATCTAGCTGAGATATTAAGCGTTTTATAGAAAATTTAACTACCATTTTTTCACAGTTGAAGTCCAATACACTATTGCTCTCGTCGTTGTGATAACATAGTGATATGGATTACCGAACAAGTAAACACAGTGTGATTGTTCCTACTATCGATTTTATCTCCCTTGGTATATGAAGCGCTCTATTGATGCCGAAAAATGATACTGGCAATATTTCAACGATACATGAAAGTAGAGGGTTGACAAGCCGAAATTGATTGCTGGCAGTTTGAGCACTTTTTAAATGTTCGCTATTAATGTTGCATTGAATTTAATTTTACGAAATTACTATATTAATAACTATCAATATAAAGTGTATGACATTTAATTCTAATAAATTTATATTGTACTGTATCAAGTTCATAACATAGTTAAGCCCAAATAGGGATGGAAACTTATTACAAACACAATGTGAAACGTAGCGTTTATAATTCGTGTGCGATAAGCTACACAGTATCTTAACTTCTAGAGTCGTTGTAAATGCTCATGCATATTCAACTGAATCTAGCCACTTTATCTCTAATTTAGTACTTCTGCACACATTTCTAAGCAACATTACAATTCGCGAGTTAATCATTAGTGCCTAAAAACTATTTACTTGAAACTTTCTTTTCAGTTACAAAAAACTACAATAATGACTTCAGCTCAAGCAGACCAACAAGCCAACAAAAAACTCAACTTAGAAAAAGCCACCAACTTCATGAGACAGTACAGAGATCCACACTCGAGGGAACTTAAAAAGTTATCTGCCAATCAATTTATGGAGGTGTGGAGCCATTATGATAAAGACGGTGAGTTTGGAAAGTACAAAAATTAAATAAACTAAATTATTAATTTTAATTATAGGTAATGGATACATTGAAGGTACAGAATTAGACGGCTTCCTAAGAGAATTCGTTTCAAGCGCAAACATGACCGATATTGCACCCGAGGTAAGCACATTTCATTTATTTGTGTTGATAATTAATGTACAGTTCAATATTTACAAAATATTTTCGAGAGGTTTTAAGAGTCAACAGCAGAGCACTCTACTGGTTTATTTGTGTTTACTGTAAAAGCAACGAAAATTGGGTTGAAAATATACAACACAATGAATTTTCGGCGAAATCAGGTAATTGAAGCCAACATTAACAAGGTCGCGTGATACAAGCAATTTATATCGATTACATAGTTGTCCAAACTTCCGGAAATTAACTAATTAATTAAGTTAAATGAGAGTACTTGAAAATTGTGCGAAGCTACATTTCAGTTAAATAATTATTCCAGTTCTCATGAATTTATTCTTCACCCCGACCGCTTACTCTTGTCACCAAAAAGCCAAGTTTTCGCTTTGTTTCCATCCAAAAAGAGAATAATAATATCCCGACGGGATCTAGTAGAGTGGCTTTTAACTAAAAACATTTCCGTTCCATTTCGAAACACCCCTGCACACCTTTTTCAACTTTCAGGCGGTCTCCGACGAGATGCTCGTGGAACTGAAAGCGTGTTTCATGGAAGCTTACGACGACAACCAGGATGGCAAGATCGATATCAGAGAGGTAAAAATGGGAACTGACGCTAAATTTAAATTCGCTATATTAAGAGAGTTTTGGTTTTTTAAGCTTGCTCAATTGCTGCCGATGGAGGAAAATTTCCTGCTGCTTTTCCGGTTCGATAATCCCCTCGAGTCGAGCGTCGAATTCATGAAAGTAATATATAGAAACGATCGATTTTGTGACGGAAATGAAACCCTGATGTTTACTAAAATACGTTGTTTTCGTCGGTTTTAGATTTGGAGGGAGTACGACACCGATGGAAGTGGATATATCGAAGCTGATGAATTGAAGGTTAATTAATAATTTTTTAGAATGAGATAAACAACTTAGGTTATTAACCAATCGAGGAGGATGAATGAGTATTTGATGTTGTTTATCATATTTTTGGTACAAAAAGATAAACACGAAATTAATGACTTTTGTTTCTAGAATTTCTTAAGGGATTTGCTCAAGGAAGCTAAGAAGATTAACGACGTATCCGAAGACAAGCTCATAGAATACACAGATACAATGGTGGGAAAATTGCAAATTAATCGTTTTTATTTTTGCTTATTAATACAACTTTATTTCATTTTAGTTGCAAGTATTTGACTCAAATAAAGATGGTCGATTACAACTATCCGAAATGGCCAAGTAAGTACCTAATAAAACTTAAATTTGAATACGCGTTGACAGTAAATTTTTAATGGAGCCAAATCAATTTCGACCTTAATATCCGTAACCTATAAATTTGAAAAGTTATGATGTTATAAACTTGAAAATGTAGATAGGGAACTGTTGATACAACAAAATTAAATTTTTCGGCCAATATAGAAAATCTATCGTAATATATTCCAGGTATTTAATTATTTACGAACTTGTATTCGTTATTACTAACGAATCGTAAAAGTAATTTTCGTTTTTTTTTGAGCGTTATATAAAACAATACGTTTGAATAGAAAAAATGCAAATTGTTTTGATATGGCCTAGCCTTTGTTTTTAAATATACAAAGAGAAAATGCTGCGTATAAAGTTAATTTTAGAGTAACTTGGTATTGATTTTTTTGTCGAATATGATGTATATTGTTAAATATAATGGAATTATTGATTCTGATCAATAACAATAGACTGAGCTGCCGTTAGATAATAGGCAATTACATTTACCGCAGTCACATCAAAGCTTATAGAGAACGAAATAGTTAATACAGTATTATTATTGAGAGGCGTAATCCTGTCTCGATGAAAACAAAACAAATTCTTCGAGATAAATCATAATTTTCTATTATTATTCAGGTTAAAATAAAAGTCAAGGATCGAGGATTTTTTTTTAGTTCAACTAAAGATTATTGTTCAATAACATAACGTAATTTTGGGATTTATGCTTTGAACTAAAAATATGAATTACTTAGAATACAATTGTTTATGGATTATGAATCGTGTAATGTTATGAATAATTTTTATTCATAGTATTCTTATCTACAGCTATTAATGAAAGGCTCAAAACCTATTTCGTTATTAACGTCAATTTTCAAATGGTTGAGATTTTAACTCCTCTAGATTAATGATAGTTATAGTTACGTTATATCCGCTTATGGATATCATTTTATTGATTTATTGCAAACAATTCTGAATTATAACATTGTCTCCCTGCATTTCTACGTTTCAAATTGCGTTAATAACTATTATTCAATAACATGAATATTATTTTATAATTTTATGGTTTAAACTAAAAATGTAAAATAGTTAGAATGAAATTGTTTATGAATTATGATTTTATATAATTATGCTTTATTATAAACAATTTGTATTAATATTACTCTCATCAACGGTTTTCAATTTTCGACTTAAAATCTATTTCGCTATTAAATGCATCAAATTTAAAATGTTTGGGATTTTAACTCCGCTAGGTTGGTAATAATCATAGTTGGGTTACAACTGCTTACATATAACATTTTCTTGATTAATTTCAAACAATTCTTATTTATAACATTTTCTCCCAGCATTTTTAGATTTCGAGTTGCATTAATAACTATTATTCAATAACATAAATACTATGATTTTGTGATTTTATGGTTTAACCTGAAAATGTGAAATACTTGGAATGACATAATTTATGGATTAGGAATTCGTGTAATGTTATGAACAATTTTTATTAATTCTATTCTTATCTACAGCTATTAATTTTAGACTCAAAAGCTATTTCGTTATTAACTGCGTCACTTTTTAAATGGTTACGATTTTAACTCAGCTAGATTGGTGATAATTATAGTTAGGATATATCCGCTTATGGATATCATTTTATTGATTTATTGCAAACAATTATGAATTATAACATTTTCTTCCTGCATTTCTAGGTTCGAATTGCGTTAATAATTATTATTCAATAACATGAACGTGGTGATTTCGGGATTTAATAGTTTAAACGAAAAATATGAAATAGTTGAAATGGAATCGTTTATGGATTATGTTTTTGTGCTTTATTATAAACAATTTTTATTAATATTATTCTCATCCACAATTTTTAATTTTCGACTTAAATCCTATTTCGTTATTAAAAGGGTCAAATGGTTGGAATTTTAACTGGGCTAGGTTTGGTAACAATTATAGTTGGGTTATCGCTTTTATTTAACCGCTTTTATATAGCCTTTTGTTAATTCATTTCAAACAATTCTCATTTATAGCATTTCCTCCTAGCATTTCTAAATTTCTACTAATAATTATTATTCAATATCATGAATATGGTGATTTTGTGATTTGATTGTTTAAACTAAAAATATGAAATGGTTGAAATGAAATCGTTTATGGATTATGTTTTTGTGCTTTATTATAAACAATTTTTATTAATATTATTCTCATCCAGAGCTTTTAATTTTCAACTCAAACCCGATTTTGTTATAAAGTGCGTTAAATTTAAAATGCTTGTGATTTCAATTCCGCTAGGTTGGTAATAGTTATAGTTGGGTTATAACCGCTTATAAATAATATTTTCTTGATTCATTTCTAGCAATTCTCATTTATAACATTTTCTGCTAGCATTTCTAGATTTCGAGGTGCAGTAATAATTATTATTCAACAACATAAATGTAGTGATTTTGGGATTCTATGGCTTAAATTAAAAATATCAAATAGTTGGAATAAAATCGTTAATGGATTATATTTTTGTGCTTTATTATAAACAATTTTTATTAATATTACTCTGATCTACAGCTTTTCATTTTCGACTCAAAACCGATTTCGTTATTGAATGCATCAAATTTAAAATGTTTGAGATTTCAACGCCGCTAGGTTGGTAATAATCATAGTTGTGTTATAACCGCCTATGTATAACATTTTCTGGATACATTTCAAACAATTCTCATTTATAACATTTCCTCTTCGCATTTCTAGATTTCAAGGTACAATAATAATTATTACTCAACAACATAAATGTAGCGATTTTGGGATTCTATGGCTTAAATTAAAAATATCAAATAGTTGGAATCAAATCGTTAATGGATTATCTTTTTGTGCTTTATTATAAACAATTTTTGTTAATATTACTCTCATCTACACCTTTTAATTTTGGACTCAAAACCGATTTCGTTATTAAATGCGAAAAAATTAAAATGTTTGAGATTTCAACGCCGCTAGGTTGGTAATAATCATAGTTGGGTTATAACCGCTTATAAATAACATTTTCTGGATACATTTCAAACAATTCTTATTTATAACATTTCCTCCTCGCATTTCTAGATTTCAAGGTACAATAATAATTATTATTGAACAACATAAATGTAGCGATTTTGGGATTCTATGACTTAAATTAAAAATATCAAATAGTTGGAATAAAATCGTTAATGGATTATGTTTTTGTGCTTTATTATAAACAATTTTTGTTAATATTATTCTCATCTACAGCTTTTAATTTTCGACTCAAAACTAATTTCGTTATCAAATGCGTCAAATTTAAAATGTTTGATATTTCAATTCCGTTAGGTTGATAATAATTATAGCTGGGTTATAACCGCTTATAAATAACGTTTTCTTGATTCATTTCTAAAATTCTCATTTGTAACATTTCCTCCTAGCATTTCTAGATTTTGAGGTGCAGTAATAATTATTATTCAACAGCATAAATGTAGCGATTTTGGGATTCTATGGCTTAAATTAAAAATATCAAATAGTTGGAATAAAATCGTTAATGATTATGTTTTTGTGCTTTATTCTAAACAATTGTTATTAATATTACTCTCATCTACAGCTTTTAATTTTCGATTCAAAACCGATTTCGTTATTAAATGCGTCAAATTTAAAATGTTTGAAATTTCAACTTCGCTAGGTTGGCAATAATCATAGTTGGGTTATAACCGCTTATGTATAATATTTTCTTGATTCATTTCTAACAATTCTTATTTATAACATTTTCTCCCATCATTTTTAGATTTCGAGTTGCATTAATAACTATTATTCAATGACATAAATACTATGATTTTGTGATTTTATGGTTTAACCTGAAAATGTGAAATACTTGGAATGAAATTGTTTATGGATTATGAATTCGTGTAATGTTATGAACAATTTTTATTAATATTATTCTTATCTACAGCTATTAATTTTAGACTCAAAAGCTATTTCGTTATTAACTGCGTCACTTTTTAAATGGTTACGATTTTAACTCAGCTAGATTGGTGATAATTATAGTTAGGTTATATCCGCTTATGGATATCATTTTATTGATTTATTGCAAACAATTATGAATTATAACATTTTCTTCCTGCATTTCTAGGTTCGAATTGCGTTAATAATTATTATTCAATAACATGAACGTGGTGAGTTCGGGATTTAATAGTTTAAACTAAAAATATGAAATAGTTGAAATGGAATCGTTTATGGATTATGTTTTTGTGCTTTATTATAAACAATTTTTGTTAATATTATTCTCATCTACAGCTTTTAATTTTCGACTCAAAACTAATTTCGTTATCAAATGCGTCAAATTTAAAATGTTTGATATTTCAATTCCGTTAGGTTGATAATAATTATAGCTGGGTTATAACCGCTTATAAATAACATTTTCTTGATTCATTTCTAACAATTCTCATTTGTAACATTTCCTCCTAACATTTCTAGATTTTGAGGTGCAGTAACAATTATTATTCAATAACATAAATGTGGTGATTTTGGGATTCTATGGCTTAAATTAAAAATTTCAAATAGTTGGAATAAAATCGTTAATGATTATGTTTTTGTGCTTTATTCTAAACAATTTTTATTAATATTATTCTCATCCATAGATTTTCATTTTCGACTGAAAACCGATTTCGTTATAAAATACGTCAAATTTAAAGTGTTTGAGATTTCAACTCCGCTCGGTTGGTAATAATTATAGTTGTGTTATAATCGCTTTTATATAATATCTTATTCATTCATTACAAACAATTCTAATCCACAGCATTTTCTCCTAGCATTTTCGAGTTGTAATAAAAATTTATAAATATTTTAATAAAACTTTTTTTAATCAATTAGAAAGTATTCATACCTATTGAANTGGATTATGTTTTTGTGCTTTATTATAAACAATTTTTGTTAATATTATTCTCATCTACAGCTTTTAATTTTCGACTCAAAACTAATTTCGTTATTAAATGCGTCAAATTTAAAATGTTTGATATTTCAACTCCGCTCGGTTGGTAATAATTATAGTTGTGTTATAATCGCTTTTATATAATATCTTATTGATTCATTACAAACAATTCTCATCCACAGCATTTTCTCCTAGCATTTTCGAGTTGTAATAAAAATATATAAATATTTTAATGAAACTTTTTTTAATCAATTAGAAAGTATTCATACCTATGAAGTTCATANTAACGTCAATTTTCAAATGGTTGAGATTTTAACTCCTCTAGATTAATGATAGTTATAGTTACGTTATATCCGCTTATGGATATCATTTTATTGATTTATTGCAAACAATTCTGAATTATAACATTGTCTCCCTGCATTTCTACGTTTCAAATTGCGTTAATAACTATTATTCAATAACATGAATATTATTTTATAATTTTATGGTTTAAACTAAAAATGTAAAATAGTTAGAATGAAATTGTTTATGAATTATGATTTTATATAATTATGCTTTATTATAAACAATTTGTATTAATATTACTCTCATCAACGGTTTTCAATTTTCGACTTAAAATCTATTTCGCTATTAAATGCATCAAATTTAAAATGTTTGGGATTTTAACTCCGCTAGGTTGGTAATAATCATAGTTGGGTTACAACTGCTTACATATAACATTTTCTTGATTAATTTCAAACAATTCTTATTTATAACATTTTCTCCCAGCATTTTTAGATTTCGAGTTGCATTAATAACTATTATTCAATGACATAAATACTATGATTTTGTGATTTTATGGTTTAACCTGAAAATGTGAAATACTTGGAATGAAATTGTTTATGGATTATGAATTCGTGTAATGTTATGAACAATTTTTATTAATATTATTCTTATCTACAGCTATTAATTTTAGACTCAAAAGCTATTTCGTTATTAACTGCGTCACTTTTCAAATGGTTACGATTTTAACTCCACTAGATTGGTGATAATTATAGTTAGGTTATATCCGCTTATGGATATCATTTTATTGATTTATTGCAAACAATTATGAATTATAACATTTTCTTCCTGCATTTCTAGGTTCGAATTGCGTTAATAATTATTATTCAATAACATGAACGTGGTGAGTTCGGGATTTAATAGTTTAAACTAAAAATATGAAATAGTTGAAATGGAATCGTTTATGGATTATGTTTTTGTGCTTTATTATAAACAATTTTTATTAATATTATTCTCATCCACAATTTTTAATTTTCGACTTAAATCATATTTCGTTATTAAAAGGGTCAAATTAAAAATGGTTGGGATTTTAACTGCGCTAGGTTTGGTAATAATCATAGTTGGGTTATAACCGCTTTTAAATTACCCTTTGGTGATTGATTTCAAACAATTCTCATTTATAACATTTCCTCCTAGCATTTCTAAATTTCGAGTCACACTAATAATTATTATTCAATATCATGAATGTGGTGATTTTGGGATTTGGTAGTTTAAACTGAAAATATGAAATAGTTGGAATGAAATCGTTTATGGATTATGCTTTTGTGCTTTATTATAAACAATTTTTATTAATATTATTCTCATCTACAGCTTTTCATTTTCGACCAAAAACCGATTTCGTTATTAAATGCGTCAAATTTAAAATGTTTGAGATTTCAACGCCGCTAGGTTGGTAATAATTATAGTTGGGTTATAACCGCTTATGTATAACATTTTCTGGATACATTTCAAACAATTTTCAATTATAACATTTCCTCTTCGCATTTCTAGATGTCAAGGTACAATAATAATTATTATTCAACAACATAAACGTAGCGATTTTGGGATTCTCTCGCTTAAATTAAAAATATCAAATAGTTGGAATAAAATCTTTAATGGATTATGTTTTTGTGCTTTATTATAAACAATTTTTGTTAATATTATTCTCATCTACAGCTTTTAATTTTCGACTCAAAACTAATTTCGTTATTAAATGCGTCAAATTTAAAATGTTTGATATTTCAATTCCGTTAGGTTGATAATAATTATAGCTGGGTTATAACCGCTTATAAATAACGTTTTCTTGATTCATTTCTAAAATTCTCATTTGTAACATTTCCTCCTAGCATTTCTAGATTTTGAGGTGCAGTAATAATTATTATTCAACAGCATAAATGTAGCGATTTTGGGATTCTATGGCTTAAATTAAAAATATCAAATAGTTGGAATAAAATCGTTAATGATTATGTTTTTGTGCTTTATTCTAAACAATTGTTATTAATATTACTCTCATCTACAGCTTTTAATTTTCGATTCAAAACCGATTTCGTTATTAAATGCGTCAAATTTAAAATGTTTGAAATTTCAACTTCGCTAGGTTGGCAATAATCATAGTTGGGTTATAACCGCTTATGTATAATATTTTCTTGATTCATTTCTAACAATTCTTATTTATAACATTTTCTCCCATCATTTTTAGATTTCGAGTTGCATTAATAACTATTATTCAATGACATAAATACTATGATTTTGTGATTTTATGGTTTAACCTGAAAATGTGAAATAGTTGGAATGAAATTGTTTATGGATTNGATTTTGGGATTCTATGGCTTAAATTAAAAATATCAAATAGTTGGAATAAAATCGTTAATGGATTATCTTTTTGTGCTTTATTATAAACAATTTTTATTAATATTACTCTGATCTACAGCTTTTCATTTTCGACTCAAAACCGATTTCGTTATTGAATGCATCAAATTTAAAATGTTTGAGATTTCAACGCCGCTAGGTTGGTAATAATCATAGTTGTGTTATAACCGCCTATGTATAACATTTTCTGGATACATTTCAAACAATTCTCATTTATAACATTTCCTCTTCGCATTTCTAGATTTCAAGGTACAATAATAATTATTACTCAACAACATAAATGTAGCGATTTTGGGATTCTATGGCTTAAATTAAAAATATCAAATAGTTGGAATCAAATCGTTAATGGATTATCTTTTTGTGCTTTATTATAAACAATTTTTGTTAATATTACTCTCATCTACACCTTTTAATTTTGGACTCAAAACCGATTTCGTTATTAAATGCGAAAAAATTAAAATGTTTGAGATTTCAACGCCGCTAGGTTGGTAATAATCATAGTTGGGTTATAACCGCTTATAAATAACATTTTCTGGATACATTTCAAACAATTCTTATTTATAACATTTCCTCCTCGCATTTCTAGATTTCAAGGTACAATAATAATTATTATTGAACAACATAAATGTAGCGATTTTGGGATTCTATGACTTAAATTAAAAATATCAAATAGTTGGAATAAAATCGTTAATGGATTATGTTTTTGTGCTTTATTATAAACAATTTTTGTTAATATTATTCTCATCTACAGCTTTTAATTTTCGACTCAAAACTAATTTCGTTATCAAATGCGTCAAATTTAAAATGTTTGATATTTCAATTCCGTTAGGTTGATAATAATTATAGCTGGGTTATAACCGCTTATAAATAACATTTTCTTGATTCATTTCTAACAATTCTCATTTGTAACATTTCCTCCTAACATTTCTAGATTTTGAGGTGCAGTAACAATTATTATTCAATAACATAAATGTGGTGATTTTGGGATTCTATGGCTTAAATTAAAAATTTCAAATAGTTGGAATAAAATCGTTAATGATTATGTTTTTGTGCTTTATTCTAAACAATTTTTATTAATATTATTCTCATCCATAGATTTTCATTTTCGACTGAAAACCGATTTCGTTATAAAATACGTCAAATTTAAAGTGTTTGAGATTTCAACTCCGCTCGGTTGGTAATAATTATAGTTGTGTTATAATCGCTTTTATATAATATCTTATTCATTCATTACAAACAATTCTAATCCACAGCATTTTCTCCTAGCATTTTCGAGTTGTAATAAAAATTTATAAATATTTTAATAAAACTTTTTTTAATCAATTAGAAAGTATTCATACCTATTGAAGTTCATATTAGTCAGTTTAAACACTAAACAGAATTATTATTTCATAACAATAAAGATTAATTACATTTCAGGTAATTAAATATTCAAATCACAAGTGGATATTACAACATGTTTTGTGTAAATCTCAACGAGCATTCGTAACATATCAATTACCTATTATTACAACGTTAATTTTTGCCTCAGGTTGTTACCGGTGAAAGAAAATTTCCTGTGTCGACAAGTTTTTAAGGTAAGACTCATCAAATCAAAGTGAAAATCTTAACTACCATCTCCAGGCACCAGCAGCAAAAATAATCTTCTTTACAGAACACCATTGACAGAACACGACTTTCTCTTTTCAAATCAATCAAAAAAAATCAATATAGATTGCTCGACGATGTCTTTAAACTATCTATTTTTCTATATATAGCACATCTCTAGATTTTTTCTTTCATTGCACCGATTAGTTTAAAAATTAAAAAATTAACCGTATAAGCATCTAAAAATATCCCTAAATCATATTCTAGTTATAGCCCGGTATAATTAATAATACAAAATTGAAATAAAACGTTTCTTTTAAAAGAAAACAAATTGTTTCCGTTAAAACTGTAGCACGGCTTTGTCTGTTTGTCTTTGTCGCTATTTCAATAGGAAGGAATAGAAGTAAGTATTTTAACGGCCGAAACAACAATGATGTGTTCACAAAAGACACTATATCAAAAAAAAGGAAATAAAGAATAGGAAACCGAAAAGGGGGAAAAACCGATTATAACGATCAAAGGCGTTTGCTAAAGTGTCTTCTAAATGGAATTTTAGATGGATTTAGACGCTAAAGTAGTGTTAGTAGCATGCACAATCTATTTTGTAGTGTTTCTTCTACCTTCCAGGCGCATGATCTATTTTGTTAAAATCAAAAATCACACTGTAAACACCCGTACACTACAAATTATAAATGTGCTACGCAAATCTATTTAACATACATATTAATTTTTGTAGAGTTAATAAAATAAAGATCGGGAACTTATCCATCTTAGATAACCACAATTTTCAAGCTTGAATATACAGTTCCATTATAACGATAATAACATGATGTAGCCCCGAATTCAATTAAGAACGTGTATATTAAATAGATAGTGTTAATATGTCGCACACGCGTGGTTTAATTGACCCAATTAATTAAACTGTAATATCTGCATAGGGAGCCACTAAATTGACGAAGGATGACATCGAAAGGGTGTTTTCTTTATACGATCGGGTAACTAATTCTAAATAAATATTTCTATAAAGATTGCATTGAGTATTATTTTCAGGATAATAATGGAACCATTGAGAACGAGGAATTACGTGGATTTCTAAAGGATCTATTGGAGTTAGTAAAGAAGGTATGTGTCTATGGATTATACTGGGAAAACTTTTAAATTGTTAATGTTGAGGTGAAAAGTTGAGAGAATCTCATCTCGTGCTAACAAACGTATGCACGTGATACAAGAAAGTTTCCCTATATAAGTTTTAAAGTATTATAAGTTCTTTCAGTGTTCTTGTTATAGCACCAAGGAATTTGGCGGTATTTAAAGTGGAATTAAGTTGTTGTAAATGAACGTACGCAGAAACGACGTACTCTTTCAGTACGTCAAACACATATCATTAATTTTGGTAAAACAACTTCAACACATTCCACACTCTCGAAACATGTTCAAACACTTAGATGAATATCGCGAATACCCCACAAACGTTCTACAGCATGTCCAGGGTAAGATGTTTATAATGAGGTCTCCATGAACTATAATGAAGGATGAACTAATAACGAGCGCCATCGTATCGATCCTTTCCAACTGCATAATGAGAAGCCCACGTTGTTACCACCTTCGAAATTCTGTCACCAGTCACATATCTAACATCTCCCGGGTGATTAAAAATTTAATAAGGAAGAAATACCATCTTAGCCTATGTAAATCATAGAGTGAGATATTAATCAATAAATAGAATAATATAGTTTCCACATAGCTTATGTCCAGTCGAAGTTGTATCAACAAGTGGATTACAAGGAATTTTCATCCAGATCATTTCCGAGACAATTAGATCCCGACACACTATAGAACAATAAGTCTGATACCAATGTTAGGAAACATAACACTGTGTTTACTGAGAAAGCATAAAAACAGAATAGACATATTTTTGCTTCGTCCAATTATTGTGGAAATGGATGATTTGGTTTGGTGAAGACGAAGTCGCTTACGGCTAAGGCTCCATAATAAGTACCATATGAACCCCAATATGCACAACACATTGCAACGCCTCGGCTAAACTTAGGACGGAGAATCTATGAGATTATCTGACATATTAATACTATATGAACCCCAAAGTGCACAACACATTGCAACCCCTCGGCTGCAAGCAACCTCGACTAAACTTCGGACGGAGGATCTATAACAACCTCTGATTATAGTGAAAATGGATGATTTCTTCTGATTAAGCCGAAGTCGCTTGCGGCTGAGGCTCTACAATTAATACCATATGAACCCCAAAGTGCATTACACACTTCAACGTCTCGGCTAAACTTAGCACGAATAATTTATGACATCGTCTGATTATAGTGGAAATGGATGATTTCTTCTAATTAAGCCGAAGTTGCTTGCAGTTGAGGCTCCACAGTTAATACAATGCTAGGAAACATAGCACTAGGTTTACTGAGAAAGCATAAAAAAAGAATAGACGATGTTTTTGCTTCGTCTAATTATTGTGGAAATGGATGATTTGGTCTGGTGAAGCCACTTGAAGTCACTTGCGGCTGAGGTTCCATAATAAATACCATACGAACCCCAATGTGCACAACACATTGTAACGCCTCTGCTAAACTTAGGATGGAGAATCTATGACATCGTCTGATTATAGTGCAAATGGATGGTTTCCTCTGATTAAACCGAAGTAGCTTGCGGCTGAATCTCCACAATTAATACCATATGAACCTCAAAGTGCACAACACATTGCAACGCCACGGCTGCTAGCAGCCTCGGCCAAACTTAAAACGGAAATTCTATAACATCATCTGTAACATATTAACGTCTATAACATACTAATGCCATATGAACCCCAAAGTGCATTACACACTTCAACGCCTCGGCTAAACTTAGGACTGAGAATCTATGACATCGTCTGATTTTAATGAAAATGGATAATTTCTTCTGATTAAGCAGACGTCGCTTGCAGCTCAGGCTCCACAATTAATACTATATAGCAGAAGGTAGCAGCCTCGGCTATATTAGGACGGAGGATCTATAACATCATTCAGATACATATTAAAAGTATCAAAAGAAGAATCAAAAGCAGTACTGGCAAATATTGACAGAATCAAAAGAAAAAAAAATAAAGTCTAAGTTCTAAAAAGTAGCTCAAACCTCATTTTCAACTTTAATTTTCTTTGCATTTCCCTCACTAAAAATCAAGTCACTTTCCAATAATGAACAAACACTGAAAGTGCCTATAGCTCTTCAAATCGTTCATACATATTAAAAACACAGTTTTCATCTTTCTGTTGTCCAAAAAGCCCTTCATAATTACTTTGAAAAAGGACAAAGTTGTTTGTAAACCCATCCTGTAAATCTTACGGCAAGCAATAAAGCTGTATGTTCACAACTTTCCTCTATATTTACAGCATACGCAAAAAACGCTTATCAGGATATATTGCCATAATGCATTGAATTTAATACTGCCATTGAATTGATTTCATTGCAGTCAATAAATAGTCACTGATGAGTTATGAGTTATGTTGTACACCTAGATACATTGTGATATCTACATAACATCACTTGGGAGTTATTTTGAACCATGTCCATGAATGTCATGAATGTCCATGAACACCTCGTTTTTCTTTCGTTGTTGTGACTAGAGGCTATGTCTAATTCATGTTAAGATATTATTAATGGTAAAAATAACGATATTACAAGTTTGTTATAAATAAACTGCATTTTGATGTTTATAGAACAGACATGGTTCAATATCCGTTATCAATAGTTCTCAAAACACATTAACTGCAAAAGTATCTGAACCATGTCCGACTGAAGAAACGTGTTTAAAACGGAAATGATACTAATTAACTACTTTTATTCTTACTACTTATTACATAATAAATGAACAATGGCAAGTATTTGCGCATTGATTTGAGTTTTTCTGCCCTTAACGTTATATCCAACGATAGCTTGTTTGAAATGCAATTTACAGTATTAATAAAGTAGTCTATATTAATATTACTATTGGGTCTATTGCATTGATTTCAGTTACATTCAGTTTCATTCAGTCTAACAATTGTCAAAATACCATCAAAGGAGATTTTGTATCTAATATTCAATGAGGAAGTTATTTTAATAAAATTAACTTTTGAATCAAAATAATCTGACGGTTGCATCTGCATTGCAACAAGCTTTTTAATACGCCATGGTGACCATGTTCCTCAGTAATGACACTGGGCTAAACATTTCAGTAAAACACATTTTTCTTTCTAGAAGACTATGTACAGCATCTACTTCTTAGATGTTACTATGTTCAGGTTCGAAGAGTTTTTGTTGTATCCATTCTATTTATAGATGATTTTTGATAAAATTCTACAGTTCTAGCTATAGTTCAGCTATTTATATTCTGAAGAATACAGGAATCAGCCCAAATGATTCATACATCAGACCTGCTGCAAATCTGATTTCTTGCTTTTCCGAATATCATTTCATGCCAGACAACACATTGCATTTTCAAGGAATTGGTACAATATAATTGCACATAGTAAGGCTGTGTTGGAGTTGGTACAAAGTAATTCCTCTAATTCTCTTTCTGTTAGCTTAATATTACATTCTCTAGTAGCTGGATATGGTACAATATAATGCAATACAAACGCTGGGGATTATAACAGCGTACAATACAAAAGTGGACATGATTCATAACAATTCTCAGGTGACAATATATGGATTGGAATTTACATATCAAAACATTGGGACAAACATGTAACTCATCTCTTGTTCTAAAACAGGAAATGTTTTTTGAAATCAAAACATTTTAAATGTCTTTTTCTTTTCCTTCATAGATCATAGAGGTTTTTTCTACTCATTTCTTTCTATCATTTCCATTCTTATCTTCCTTTCCATTCGTGAAACGTGTTCTTTCCAAAGTTTCCTGCGTGCACGTAATCGTCTGACTACATCGAATTTCTTCTCTGATCTCATTGTATGTGTTCAGTGATTGCTCTCAAAATTGCAATTGGATCGTACCATTCTTTTGGTTTCCGCTTTGTGTGTCCATACCTACACAGTATATAACATTATTGGCCGGACCGATTTTGATCTCGGTCAATATGTAGTTGTTTTTCCAGATGGTCGTTCTTAGTGCTCCCCCTGTTCTGGCATTGATCATTTTCTCACGTTGTTCTTAAGTTCTCCATAAGACGATATGCTTATGGCTAAATAAGTGTAGTCTGTTACTTGCTCGATCATGTGGCCGTTCACTTCTAATTTCTATGTGATCTATGTGATTCTCTAGCTATTAGGCAACTCTTCATTATCAGGAAAATTTATTTGTATGGTATTAATTGCAGCATATTAGACAACACATATTGAGGCGCCTCTGCCGCAATCGACCTTGACTTAATTTCTTTAAGTTCCTTCGTCTGTTCGATTCTGTTTGACTTGGCATCGACATATGAAGAGTTGCCAGGAAAATTGAGATTGGATATAATACATTGCTAATGTTTGGTTCCAATTTCCCAGCTTATGTGAGACGCAGGCTTCTATACTTCTTCATCTAGAGTACATCAGTATGGCCAAAAAAAGATTGGATGACCTCATTTCATTTTCAAACATGTCAAAAAATTTTTGCAACTTATTTAGATGATTTGTATCTACGGATTTGTTTTGAAAATAAATATTTAAACTAATGATGGAACGGATAGTGATTTTGCCGGATACCGGATATTCGGCATGCACTTCGGCCGGATATCCGGTTATCCGGCATATCTATCTGGCCATTATGGTTACAATTGCCACATTATTGCGATATTTGAATAAAAATGAAATTAATAAGAAAGCTGATAAGATATGTCAACTTATTTGGATTCAAGATACAAAATGAACTTTTCTGATACTGATTTAACTAACGAAGCAACTCCAAAAAGAGGATACTTTAATTAATAATATTTCCACAAGAATCCTTCAAGAAATTAATTTTATAGCGAATTTTGAAAGTTATCGATGAAAATTATTGCAACATCGAAAATTTTATCAAAACTTCTAATATTGTTTTCTCAAAAACTAAAAGCTAATTTTCAAAACGAGTTGGTTCATTGGAAAAAAGACAATTTAATTAACACTTTGGAAAATTTTCATACTCATATTCCAAGAAATGGATTTTATACGAATTTTTAAAACTTAATCGACGGGTATTTGGTAACTATTCAGTATCCGACCGGATTTTAAAAAATGGCCGGGTAGGCCGGATACCGGATAGTTGCCGGATGTTCGTTCCACCACTAATTTAAACCCAATAGTAACCATTTAAATTGTAGACAAATTAAATGAATATTAAATATTGTTATAGGATTACGACGCTCAAGATTTGTTGGATTTTGAAGAAACGATCCTCCGTGGCGTCGATTACAATCAAGATGGTAAAATAAACAAGAAGGAGCTCACCATGATCCTTCTCGCAATAGCGAAACATAACCAAGAGGAAGATTCGTCCGCATAATCCGTTTAAATGGCGTCGAAATTCGAAAATAAACAAACCGTTGCCAAGAATTTACACAATTAGCACAATGGTTTTCAGGATCTTTTTCTGTGTGCTCTCTAGATGTGGTATTTTTAAACTCATTTTCCTTTACAAGAATAGATGTTAAGTAACTGTAAAAGAAAATTATTTTTAGGATAATTTTTAGCCTTATATGCAGGTGTTAACGGAATCTTCAACGAATTATCGATTTAATGAGGCAACGAATTGAAGTAAATTTACTCCCCAAAAAAATCAAATTGCAAATGAGGTAAAATTATCCCAAAAAATAGTTTTGTGTCATTTTTTTTAATGATTTTTTTAATCCTAATGTGGGATAAATAAGGGCTCGAATAAGAGTAAACTATAAATGATAATTTACGTGTAGTTCGAACGAGATGTACACGCCGTTAAATCAATGGGCTAAATTGAAATTACTGCTTGCAGTAAGTAGGAGTTAATTTAGTGTAATGAGTTCTACTGTACAATCAATTTGCTCCATGGTAAGATACGTAAAGTTTTTATGAAAGAAATTTGGGAAAGACCTTTACGAAGAATTAAGAAACACCAATCTAAAAGACTCTTGTTCGGATAATTTTTGAAGTTTTATATGCGACACGTATTAAAAAGGAAGTTAATAGAGAATTTCAATTAAATCCATGTTCATAGTAAATGAACTAATATTACTTAAATAAATGTTGTAATCAGCACAAATACTCCAAATTAAAAAAATAAATTATTATAGTCACATTTCCACTTTTCTTTTAAAGAGTGATAAAATCTAATCGTTCCTATTACACTTAATTAATATCGTTTATGTTAATACTAATAATGTTGGCGATTATTTTATATAGGTTATGTACGAAAGTTATAAAAATGAAAATAAACTGGGTTGTTAAATTTGCATATTGCGGAAACCCCGGTTTTCATGAAGTCATATTAGAATTGCATAACGTCGGAAAATTTATTACCTTAGCTAGAAGAAGACCTTTTCATTAAAATCTCGCCACCCTCCCACTTTACATTTAATAAGAATCTAGCTAATAACAATCTCAAACTAGATTTTAAAAATAGTTCATGGTTTTATTGCTCTTTAAAGTTGCTTTAAAAAAGATATTAAAAATATGAAACATAAAAAAAAATTTGACGTTAACTCAAAAATTAAAAAAAATCTGTCTATTAATGCTTTGTCTTTTAAAAGATAAACGTAAGTGTATAGTATATTACAGTCTTCAATCTTTAAATATACGTCCATGTTGCATATCTACAGTAACTTACAAAGAGAGTTGTTGTATGGGGTGTTTCTGTTATTTGATGTAAAGCTTTAAATGTAAAACAACAAAAAACTAGAACACACTCTGTATAAATTTATATAGAGAGATTCATCAGCATTTTATTCCAGTCCGAAATGAATAACTCTATATACAACACACAACTTAGTATCAACAGTGTTAAAAATAATATAAAATATATCCAACGTTTTATACATTATGTTAATTATCTTTTTTATCTGTTTAAATAAAACGCTTTAGGCTGTTCTTTTCGGTCAATTAAAAAATAACAAAAATGGCTCTTAATATATCGATGTTGACAAATAAAAGAATTAAAATATAATTGTTTGTATACGTTGTTTAAGATGTATGCTTGGGCTCGTGAATTAAAAAAAAATCTGATGATTGAAACTTGTTGAGTTGAGTAAACACAAAAATTATTATTTTTGTGTATACTCAAACTGAATTAAGCGGTTTAGATTTATAATAAAGCTGATGTTGTGAAGTTGACGTCGGTTCGGCGTCGATGTTGAACTGATATTGTAGTCTATCACTAGTTGTTCGATTATATTACGCTGTTCTTGAAAATAAAACTAAATTAAACCAAAAATAATGTTTGGTGTAAAATTTTATGAGTACTCAATAAAAAAATCAATCAATAAAAGAAAATTTGTTTTGAAACATCCATTTTTTTATTTTGATTAATTTTAAGGACATGGCGATTATGGGCACATTTTTTTTGGTACGATTATTGCGCAGCACAGCAGTAGAGATAATTAATTAATCTCAACTCACAAAAACGAAATGGTTAAATACATTTTTTACGACAATTTATCACTTAAATTATTTAACACACACAACGATAATAATTTTAATGTAATTAAATCTACTTTCCTAGATTTAATCCATGACCGCATTTGGCGCATATTTGAGTTCCAATTGGAGCTTGAACCATTACAGGTTGCTGATGATCAACCGATTTCGACCGGTGTTGTCTTTGAGGTGGCACCTTCAGCGAATTTTCATCGTTCTCGTTAGATAAAACTTCCTCGTACTCGTTAGAAACTTCGACAAGAGGTGGTCCACTAATTGGAACGGAATTCGGACGAGATTCAGTATTCGCTGCGATTCCATGGAACAGATCCAAATGAGAATCTAAGGAAAATTGCTTTCCGGACATTAAAATTCCTTTAATTCTTCTGCGTCTATCTACAAAACAAATTATTATTAAAACAAAATTAAGTTTTTGTTATTATTTTCTTACGTGGACTATCTTTAGCTTGGCTTCCTAAACGAGCAAAACACGTTAAAACATCACCTTGATCATAAATCGCTGCAAAACTTCCATTTACAATTTTAGGCGACATCGGGGAATTAGCCAACAATAAGCTCGTTCCAAAGTTTTCGTTTCTTTCTTTAGTTTCTAAAAATAAAATCTCAAAACAGAATATTAGTCTTTATTGAGTTACGCACCTTTTAATGGAACTCTAACACGAGGGACATCCATTTTAGCCTCCTTCAAAATATCACCAGCAACATTTTTAATTTCTTTCCAGTCTTTAAGAATATCATCACCAGTGGTGTATTGAGATGTAACCGTAAATCTTATCACGTATTTATCTTTTAAAGCGGCGGGAACGCAATGAATGTTACCTCTTGAATTTAATCTTTTCAGCAACGACTCGGTGTGGGCGTTATCACCTTTTAATCGAAACACAACTAGTCCCAAATGTCTCGTTGCTGGTATCTCGAATCTTTGATCGGCTAAGACTAGGGCTTCAAATTTTTGAGCTAAACGCACTCCCTGCAATTGTCAAAATCAAGTAAATAAAATTTGTAATGATAAAATACGATTTACCTCTCGAATGTGTTTTTGTAAACCAATTATTCCAAAATTTCGGATAACAAACCACAATTTTAAAGACCTAAATCTTCTACTAAGTGGTATTTGCCAATGCTAAAAATACGATTTAACAGATTTTTAGTTCTGCATCCATTTGTTAAGGATTTTTATGATTAAGTAGTTACAACGTTGAAACATGAATTTAGGTACTAAGAGCTTCTTTTAATCTTTAAGGTTAAGGTTGTGACATAATCAAGTTTTATAAATGTGAAATTTTCAAAGGTTGTGATACAAAATGAAAACATATTTTACAACAAAGATCGAATTTGATAGTAATAAATATCAAGGAACATCATTTAGGGTAGTTAGAGAACATGTTGAGAACTGCCAGAGTGGTTGCTGAGTCACGTCAATGATGATTATGGTGATCAGATGCTATTGAGAGAAAAAATAGGCACAGAAAAATCAGAGATAGTAATTAGGGATGATTTTGAGAATATTTAGGAACGTTGTAAAAAGCTTTTAGAACCGTTGTTGAGTGAGTCAAGGATGATATTAGAATAATGATTTGCCGTAATATCATTCTTGAAATCACTTAACAACAGTTTTGACACGTTGATTTATGATCCATATTGAGAATAATTAGCAAGGATGTTGAAAGAGGGGCGAGAAATGAGTTTAACAAATGCTGAGAGCTATCAGAGCCGTTGTTGAGTCATGTAAATGATGATATTATGATGATCTACTATTACGAGAGTAATTAGGAACAGGAAACTCAAAGACAGTGCTAAGGAGATTTGGTGATCATCTTAAAAGATATCAGGGATGATTTTGCAAATATTTAGGGATGTTGTCAAAAGCTGTCAAAGCCATTGTTGAGTGATGTCAAGGATGATATTACGATGATGATCTGCCGTTAAAACATCCTTGAAATCCGTCAACAACAGCTCTGACACATTGATTTATGGTCCATACTGAAAATAGATAGCAATGATGTTAAAAGAGGGACGAAAAATGAGTTTAACAAGCGTTGAGAGTTGTCAGAGCCGCTGCTGAGTCATGTAAATAATGATATTATGATGATCTACTATTACGAAAGTAATTAGGGAGAGGAAACTCAAAGACAGTGCTAATGAGGTTCATCAATCACCTTAAAAGATATCAGGGACGATTTTGAGAATATTTAGGGATGTTGTCAAAAGCTGCTCAGAACCGTTGTTGAGCGATGTCAAGGATGATATTAGGATAATGATCTGACGTAATATCATTTTTAAAATCATTCAACAACAGCTCTGACACACTGATTTATGATCCATATTGAGAATAATTAGCAACGATGTTGAAAGAGGGGCGAGAAATGAATTTAACAAATAATGTTGACAGCTGTCAGAGCCGTTGTTGAGTCACGGAAATGATGATATTATGGTAATAATCCACTGTTACTAGAGTAATTATGAAGAANCGTTAAAACATCCTTGAAATCCGTCAACAACAGCTCTGACACATTGATTTATGGTCCATACTGAAAATAGATAGCAATGATGTTAAAAGAGGGACAAGAAATGAGTTTAACAAGCGTTGAGAGCTGTCAGAGCCGCTGCTGAGTCATGTAAATGATGATATTATGATGATCTACTATTACGAGAGTAATTAGGGACAGGAAACTCAAAGACAGTGCTAATGAGGTTGAGTAATCACCTTAAAAGATATCAGGGATGATTTTGAGAATATTTAGGGATGTTGTCAAAAGCTGTCAGAACCGTTGTTGAGCGATGTCAAGGATGATATTAGAATAATGATCTGCCGTAATATCATTCTTGAAATCACTCAACAACAGCTCTGACACCTTGATTTATGATCCATATTGAGAATAATTAGCAACGATGTTGAAAGAGGGGCGAGAAATGAATTTAACAAATAATGTTGACAGCTGTCAGAGCCGTTGTTGAGTCACGGAAATGATGATATTATGGTAATAATCCACTGTTACTAGAGTAATTAGGAACAAAAATCAAAGACACTGCTGATGAAGCTGATTGATCACCTTAAAAAATGTCAGGAACGGTTTTGAGAATATTTAGGGATGTTGTCATAAGCTGTCAGAGCCGCTGTTGAGTGATGTCAAGAATGATATTACGATTATGATCTGCTGTAATATCATTCTTGAAATCACTCAACAACGACTCTGACACATTGATTTATGATCCATATTGAAAATAGTTAGGAACGATGTTAAAGGAAGGGCGAGGAATGAATTTAACAAATGTTGAGAGCTGTCAGAGCCGTTGCTGAGTCACGTAAATGGTGATATTATGGTGATCTACTATTACGAGAGTAATTAGGGACACAAAAATCAAAGACAGTGCTGATATGGTTGAATGATCATCTTAATTGATGTCAGGGATGATTTTGAGAACATTTAGGATGTTGTCAAAAGCTGCCAATGCCGTTATTGAGTGATGTCAAAGATCATGATCTGCCCTAATATCATTCTTGAAATCACTCAATAACGGTTCTGACACATTGATTTATGTGATCCATATTAAGAATAATTAGCAACGATGTTGAAAGAGGGGCGAGAAATGATTTTAACAAATGTCAGGGACATTATTGAGAATAGTTAAGAATAGTGGTAAAGACAATTTTGAGGGAAATAAATCACGATGTGGAGAGATGGCAGAGACAGTGCTAATGAGGTTGAGTGATTATCTTAAAAGATGTCAAGAATAATTTTGTGGAATTTGAGGAATCGAAGAATTATTAAGTGCACGTGCTTTGATTTTCCCTAAATTTATAACAAAAAGAGCTAGAATTATATGATAAAAATGAACACACTCAGGATTCCAATGCAAACTCGCATACTTGCTTGCACAGTGTCATTATTCTACGTGTTTTTTTTTTATTAGATTGTTTAGGAGAAAGTTCATCATTTAGAGATTTATGTAAATGATATTTGTGATATCTTTATGTGTTTGTACCTTTGCACAAACGATGTTAATAAGATTTGATGATTATCTTGCACGAAATACTAAGTGATAGCAGTAGACGCAACGGACGCAACACATTTAACACTACAAGCGCACGGATACTTGTCTGTACCCGAACTCAGGTTGACTGAAAAATAGAAAAGAGGTCTAACAAATAAACGAAAGTATGAATACAATGAATGAGAAGATGAATAAGTGGAGCTCAGAAATGATTCATATGAGAGAAATGATATGAAAGGAAAAATGATGCAACTAGATTATAAAATACAAAAATGAAAAAATAAAGAGAATAGAGAACATCGAAAATGAGACCGGAAAGGAAATAGAGGAAGGAGTTGATGAAGTACTTCAGAAGAAAGGTTTTAACAAGACCAGACCAAAATAACCAATATGACAATCATATTGTGGTGCCCCAGCTGCCACAATACGAGAAAAGTGAAATCAAAAAAATATTCTNTTAGCAACGATGTTGAAAGAGGGGCGAGAAATGATTTTAACAAATGTCAGGGACATTATTGAGAATAGTTAAGAATAGTGGTAAAGACAATTTTGAGGGAAATAAATCACGATGTGGAGAGATGGCAGAGACAGTGCTAATGAGGTTGAGTGATTATCTTAAAAGATGTCAAGAATAATTTTGTGGAATTTGAGGAATCGAAGAATTATTAAGTGCACGTGCTTTGATTTTCCCTAAATTTATAACAAAAAGAGCTAGAATTATATGATAAAAATGAACACACTCAGGATTCCAATGCAAACTCGCATACTTGCTTGCACAGTGTCATTATTCTACGTGTTTTTTTTTTATTAGATTGTTTAGGAGAAAGTTCATCATTTAGAGATTTATGTAAATGATATTTGTGATATCTTTATGTGTTTGTACCTTTGCACAAACGATGTTAATAAGATTTGATGATTATCTTGCACGAAATACTAAGTGATAGCAGTAGACGCAACGGACGCAACACATTTAACACTACAAGCGCACGGATACTTGTCTGTACCCGAACTCAGGTTGACTGAAAAATAGAAAAGAGGTCTAACAAATAAACGAAAGTATGAATACAATGAATGAGAAGATGAATAAGTGGAGCTCAGAAATGATTCATATGAGAGAAATGATATGAAAGGAAGAATGATGCAACTAGATTATAAAATACAAAAATGAAAAAATAAAGAGAATAGAGAACATCGAAAATGAGACCGGAAAAGAAATAGAGGAAGGAGTTGATGAAGTACTTCAGAAGAAAGGTTTTAACAAGACCAGACCAAAATAACCAATATGACCATCATATTGTGGTGCCCCAGCTGCAAGCGGTCTCGGCTTGATTAGGAGAAAGCTAGATTTTTTGAGTAATTAAGCCAAGGTCGGTTGTGGCTGAGACTCCCTGATTAAACTTATATTAACCTGATGCAGATTAAGTTTGTGAATTGATATAATGGGAATAACAGAGACAAAGAAAAACGTATAAAATACCGGACGGAAATGTACCTAGAGCAATAGAAGAGGTGGAATGCTTGGTTATCAAAAAAAAGGAAAAAATAGAAGACAAATACAGGACTATATTACATGATCTAAACGACTGCTAACAAAGTTGAATTGAGAAACGAAAAGATGAATCTAATAAGATTAATTATGATTGTAGGGAGCAAATGAGGACGAGAAGAGTGAAATCAAAAAAATATTTTGCGAAGAACAAACAAAGGCAGTTGAACAAACTAAAGGAGAAATTTATGTAATTCGTAAAGGTGACTTGAATAGCAAGGTTGTAATACAAGATGATAAATATAGAATGGTTATGGGAAATCTTGGAGAATGATTACGAATAATAATGGAAAACGAATGCTGGATTTTTGCCTTCTGAATGATCTCATGATAACAAATACATTGTTCATGCACAAAGAAATACAATAATTTACAACGGAAGTATAATGTACAAAAGAAATATCAATAATAATCGATTTCGTACAGATAGGAAACAAAAACAAGAAGGATATAGAAGATACAAGAGAAAGAAAGGACCAGATATTGGTAGCGACAATTTCGTGTTATTATCTAATGCCAGAGAAGAGAAAGAACAAACAAAAAAGTAAATCATATGATTAAAACATATAAGTTGAGAAATAGAGAGAAATTCGAGCGCGATGGGGATGTAGAAACTGTGGATAACTGAGAATACTTAAAATAATTTAATATTTAGTACGGCAAGAGAAGTGTGTGAAATACATAGGACGAATGATAAGAGAAAGCGGAAACCATGGTGGACAGAAAAGATAAAAGAGGTAAAGGTATATAGATAAAGAATAAGGTATGGAAAAACTATCGGACTAAGAAAACTCAAAACAGTTATAATAATTACCAAAGAGAAAGGAAATGATAACTGCGGTCAAAAATGAACAACGGAAAAATTCTATTCTATCAAATACTAAAATCCTTAAGAACAGAAAAGAAACAAAAATTAATAAAGATAAAAAGGGGGAAACACTGGCGGAGGAAAATGAATTGATGGATACATAGAAAGAATGTTATAAAGAGTTACTAAACAAAACACTAAAAGCAAAGAAACAAACACAATTGATAGAAGATTGAGAGGGAGAAGAAGAAAGGGATATTATAATAATGCCTAGGCGGGATAAAATAACATTGCCAATGATCAAGTTTGTCCTATAGACAAAGAGGAAGAACTACTGCATATGTATAAGAAGATATGGAGAGAAGACAACTTAATAGCAGACTGGGGGAAGCGATTAATCGTACCTACATTTAAGAAAAGAAGTGCGTAGGATTGTAAAAATTATCGAAATTATTTATAACATTACTAAGCACAGCCAGGAAAGTATTAAAAAAATAATAGAGAACAGACTGAAAAATGAAGTAGAAAAGTACACAAGACCATGTGTTTATGACAAATCAAATCACAGAGAAGACAATTATGGAAACAAGGAAAGTTTCGCAGCGTTTCTAGATCTTGAAAAGACTTTGGATACTATACCCAGGAAACGTCTGTGGAAAATTTTAATCGAAATAGGAGTGAGAAAAAAAACGATAAAATTGGTACAAAAAATATATGAAATGAATACCAATGCAGTTATAAGAAATAATTTGGCAAATATGGGGTTACAACAAAGAGGAAGTCTCAGTCCATAGCTGTTCATCGTATTTATGGACGAAGTCATCAAGAAATGTAAACCACTAATAAACAAACTAGGTGTAGGTTACGTATAACTTCATGGATTACAAATAACTAAAGGCGTGTTCGCAAATGATGTTGCGATATTTGCCGGAAATACGAATGATCCACAAAAAAAACTAAGATACGTGGATTGCAGTCATGAAAGAATGTAGTAATGATGATTGGGGACGACACAGAACATATACACATAAGAATAGAGGGGGAGGAGATACAACAAGTGGATTATTTTCAATACCTGGCAGTGATGGAATACAATAATCTATATTGACATATTATCACCTGAGAATTATTTTAAACCAAGTCCCTTACGTCTACAAAGCAGTAATTTGGATTTAAAAGTTTAGCAGATCTTTTTTCTTTCGTGGTTGTGACTACAGGCTATGTCTAAATTCATGTTAAGATTACTGGTATCAAGTCCTATGTCAAATAGTTGCATGCTCTGCTATCATTGGTACAATACAATTACACATAGTAAAATTGTGTCTTGGACATGAGTCAAAATAATTCTAAGGTGACGATATATTGAAGGGAGATAACTACCTTGGTGAGGATTCTTGCAGAGAATGGGAGGGGAAGTATCAGTTAAAATAGAGTGTATAAGGTTAAAATATTATTAAAATATATAAAAAGAGGAGGAAAGGCTAACCAAGGAAAACAGGATAATGTAATAGCTAGACAGACAGAAATAGCAACTGGAGGGATGCAACAGAGTTGGAGAGAAATAGAAAAAGAGAAATGCGAATAGAAATGTTACAAATATAATTATTATTTACCATGTAATCAATTGCCAATCCAGAATTTTCGTGTTGTAAATAAAGAGGGTCGACGTTGAAAGTTCTATGAAGAGCATTACTATTTTTCACCCACATAGCGGTGCAATCGAAATGGACCATTAACCATTTTGAAGGATTAAAAGCGATAGAATCGGCATGATCAACTCCTTTTAACCAAATTCTAAACTCCGGACAGATAAAAGCGCTTCCTGCGTATGCCGCATCGATGTGAAGCCAGAGATTTTCTTCGGAACAAATTAATCCGATTTCTTCCAAATTATCAAAGGAACAAGCTCCTGTTGTACCCAAAGTACAACACACCTAAAAATTTAATAAATATTATAATTATATGAAACATCTAGGATAAAAGATTTAAATTTGAAAAATATGTGTGAACATTATAAAATAAAGAAATAAATTTTTTCACATGATTCAACAAATTATTTATCGTAGAACGCGTCAGTGAGCAACACAAAAGTAATTCCTTAGTCGATGCTCGGGGGATTGTTTCCCCGCAAATAACTAATTGGAGAAATCTTCTTAAAATCGGACGGATCATTTCGAGTGAACTCCCCTTGGGCTCAATTAATACATAGAGATTTACTGCATTGGCGACAGTTCACATCTGCGCTTCCACATTTCAAATATTATAAGTACAGAAAAAAACTTAATTCTTACCCAAAACGGTATAAGTCCATTTTCCCTATCTTTTTTTATCGCTTCTAACAACTTGTATCCTCTCATTGACAGATTCTCATCACTCTCAATATATCTCATTTTCACCAACCCAACTAAAGCCGCTTTTTCAACGCTGGAATGAGCTTGATCGGAACAATAACCAACTAATCGAACGTTAATTTCGACGTCTTCAAGATCGGAATAAATTTTTTGATAATTTTTTATAGCGAGACATCGCCCAGCTAATAAACAAGTAAGAGTTGCTTCACTTGCTGTGGTCTAAAAATATTTTTTTTAATTTTAAAGGGTTATTAAGAATAAAGCATTTACTTGTATAACTCCTCCACCTAATGATGTTGATTTTGTGTGGAGAAAATCATCTGGTAGCCCAATCATTTTACCCAACCAATTCATTACGATAGTTTCTAATTCAGTAACAACAGGACCAGATGCCTACATTACAAAGAAAATGTAGAAATGTTTTTTTGTAATAATAAAAAATTGTACCCAAGTAAATCCCAAACAATTAATTGCATCTGCTAACATATCACCGAGTAATGATGGAAAGCTGTTTAAAGCGGGAAAATAAGCGTGCATATGGGGACTTTGCCAATGTGTAATTCCTGGCATTATAATCCCTTCGATATCCTTGAATATTTTAGTCCATTTTTCCCCTTCAATTGGTGCGCTATCAGGGACGGCTTCGCGAAGAAATCCGGGCCGTTTATCAGGAAATACTTTTCGATCTCTAATAGTCGAGAGATAATCCGCTATATAATCAACCATCTCCTTACCTAAAGATTAAAATATTAATTTCAAGAAACCAAATAACATTTAAATTGAAAATAAATTTGTTACAAATCAATTGAAATAAAACAGTTTCCCACAAAAAAGTGAAAATTGGCGCAATCCCCAATGTATGCAAAGCTGAAGGGATCCAATAAGAATTGAATACCGAGGGTAGTTTCGAGTAATTTGTATATATTGACAGTGTAGCAAGTCCGAGTCATAAAATAAATCACTAACAGTTAAATAAAGACGTAAATTTACCTCGTATTCTGTACTCGTTGACGTCCATGGTTCAATTTCAAACACGAATCTAAAATTGAATTTAAAAATAAATGATTAATCGAAACAATATTAAGACAGTAATAATTTTCTAAAAACGTTACGTAAGGGGATTCGAAAAGTTTCAAAAACTACATGAAACCCCACTAATGTAAACGTAGGTTTTGCTTAACGCGCATGCTTGGATAATCCTGTTAATTTGAATGAGATCTAAGGTTAGAGGGCTTTCTCCAGATTGAAAATTTAATAGAAAAGTTACTGAAATGAAGATTTAACTAAATTATACAGGGATAAATTTATTTAATTTTAGTTGTATTTGAATATATAATGGATCGAAAAACAAAGGGCGTTTGTATTTACTTGGAAGAAAGGGAAATTAAAAATTAAATTGGAATCGCTAACACAAAAGAAACCGAGGGAGGGCGAAGACAAACACTAGAACTGCAATTAGCAGGTACTTACCACCACAGGAACGCCAAAAGCACTGTTACGTAGAATAAACTGAAGCCAAATGCTATCAACAAGTGACAATGTGCTTTATATAAGGTTTCCCCTCTGCGTTCTTTCCTGCAGGATTATTGGCCTGGACTGAGCAGAGTCTTCTGCGCGAAGGAAATGCAGAATTGGGTTGTCAATTAAGATTACATTACAAAATTTAAAAACTTTTGTAAGAATAAATATTTGTAAAAATAGATTTCTTTTAAACATTTTTTTTGGAAAAATTTAATGAATAAATACCATGGCAACACTTACCTTAAAAATTATCCAAAATTAACGAAGATTTAAGTTGAAAAAATTGACGCAGTCAAAAAATTTCCTTACAACTTAATTAAATAAGATGTCGTTCGTAAAGCTTATGTATCAAGCGAAAATTTTAGAAAAACGCAAACGTAGATTACTCGTAGAAAAACAGTTTGCCATTGCACTTTCCCAAGATTCTTCAGCTAAACCAAAAGGTCTACTCCGTTTTAATATAGGAAGAAAAATACTTGAATGTGTAAAAAAATGCACATCCGTAAGCGAAAAATCTGTAATGTTTAAATTTTTATATAAATTACGTCATAATGGTTCATTTGAAAATTACATTTTAAAAAGTATCGTTGGATTTATCGGCGGATTTATTTTAACTTACATCTTTTTCATGTTCTTCGTTTTCCAATTAAACTTTACATTCTCAACTGCTACGATAATGTGTTCAATTTTCGGCAGTATCTTAACGATAGGGTTAGCATTTAGTTATAACGTTCGGTAAGTGAAATTCTTTTTTCATTATTTTTGCTAGAAACGTTAATTAACACCATTTATATTCCAAACGATCCAATTAACTGAAGGGTTGTTTTCCATTTTTTAGTTGTATCGTTTTCCTAACGTTGCCCCAATTGTTCTCTAAACGAGGAAGACAAGCTTTGTTGGCGTATGCATTTATTCTTGCGATAACTGGTCCAGCGAAAAATACCCTTAATAATATGGGGATATTAAGTGAATCACTTGCTTGTGGACAAGTGAGTACGAATTTATTTAGTCGACAAGAAATCGTATAGATTTACTATTATGATTATAGGAACAACTTAAACAAGCTGTTAAACAAATATTGGAAGCTGTTAAAAAACCATTTTATGCTATCAAAGATGCTATTAAAACGGTTGTTAAAGTTGTTAAGGATGTGGTGAAAAAAATAAAAGAAATATTATTATCAATAAAAAGGGTTATAGTTTCTATACGTAAGTAATAATTATATGATATATAGAAATTATATAGATCTAAAAGTAATTATATAGATGGGTTTAAATGAAAATGATTCATACCAGTATGCATATAATATGTGTACCATATCATATGAAGTGTGTAGTTGAAAAACTCACATTATCCGTCATATGCAGTTGCACTTCTTATACATATACTTAACAATTTTATTATAAAAAATAGACAGAAAATTACTTTTCCGATGGTATATTGAAAACTTTGTTGAAGACAGCCAAATTCACGATATTATAACTTTTTGGTGGGAGAAGGTGAGTTTTGCTGCGTTCTTTTCTAAAATGTGAGTTTTGCACCAAATAAATTTCGAGACTGTGACTTTTATCGCGGAAGAATGACAACAATTGAAGAAAAAAGTTTTTATTTCAGCAAAAATATGAATTGCAAAACAACTTAAACCCGTGGTTCACGAATATCCTCATGAGGCTCACACAAATGATTATTTTTATCAAGTTCGACCCTCATTGAAATCTTCAGCTTTATTTAGGACGTGTTTGTAGAAATCAAGATTTAGGTTGTTGTTTTCTCTCCAGTCATTTCTATAGTGTTTGGATAGAAGATTGCTGACGTCAGTTTTTTTGGTAGGATGTAAATTATTCTTTTCTTCAATGACATTCTGTTATATCTGAGTAACAGATTTCCCTTCTTGCAGATATTTTGCGACCCACCGGTGCATGACTTATAAGACATTTCTCTCTGAACAAGAGCTTCTTTGAGTTTTGAATGCCATGATCCGAGTAATTTGAGTACTTTGTCTTTGGCCGTTTTTCAATCAAGGTTTGGGCAGTCTCTTCCTAAATTTTTTACAGTTGAATAATGGGAAAATATTTCTTGATACTCTTCAGGACGCAGAATTATCTTCTACCTCTTAATTTCTTTCTCGCTTAGACCGAAGACCAGATCTGGTGGAATGTTTCTTCCATTTACACAGCATAGGGTAACCTGTCCATCAATGGAACACCAAAATTTCAAACCGTCCTATCTTTGTTGTTCCTAAAGTTATGAGTCTAATTTTTTGCACCAAGATAGACAAATTAACTAGAAATCGTGTAGTATTTCAAGTTTTGTCATTATTTGAAGTATAGAAAAGCTTTTTAAAAAAATGAGCTTTGTTTCACTATGTCCATATATGTGTATTCGATGAAACACCTGATATTCGACAATGAAATGGACTAGTCAACATTAACACAGTATTAATGGTACTTGACATTTATATGTTTGTAATCAATTAAATAGGTAACTAATAAATGAAAGTTAATTTCAGTAAAAATATGTTTTATTTAGATAAATAAAAAAATAACTTTGTTCTTCTATAATCACCTTGAAGTAATGAAGGTTTTCCAAATTTTAACGCAAATTTAGTTTTGGTGACACACAAAGAGAAAAAATTTGGTGCCATCAATCTTTGGCTGAGGCAGAATCATTTTTATGTCTGTTAGTCTTACTTCTGAAAGATCTGGCTCTAGAGGAATATAAAATTTCATCTCAGTCTTGTTTTTTAGTCTCATGAAGGAAGCCTCATATGTATTATTATTTATTGCTTCAGTAATCAATGCAATGTAGTATATTTTTAGTTTTTTAGTCGCCGTCTAGAGGTTTGCGATCAATTAGTTTGAAATTTTCGGTTACCAAGGGTAAGTTTTCGTCATTGATATCATCTTGTTCATCTATGCCACTTAAATCAGTTTCACTTATTGTTAGACGAACCACCGTATCTTCCTCTTCTTCGCTTCTTTCTGCATCTGCTTGATCTACATGAACATTATCCTTGTTTTGTTTATTGTTTACTTTTTTATTGCACAGAAATTGCCGCTTTACTTTCGCGGCAGCGGATTTTCTTTGTTTAGCTTTCCTTCTTTCTTTAGTAATTTGCTTTTTTTCACGCGTGTCCGTTGCAATCATGTTTTTACCAAGCTTTCTTGGCTTACGACTGCTAATTCGTGGGCCAGCCTTTAAAGGTAACATAAATTCTTTTGGTGATTTGAATTTATTTTGAGTATCAAAAGAAGAGCTTGCTTCCTGCAAAGGTTTTTCAAAACTTCTGCTGTCGTGATTGCTGATTTCAGCAGAAATGTCTTCAAATCTAGGCTCATCCATTTCCAGTACCGACAGATTTTCAGCTTCTCGTTGAATAGGGCCTTCAGCGTATGTTGCCTCTGATGAAAGACTGCCAAAATTGGTTGGCTCATGGAAACTACTGAAACATGGAATTGTTCTGGCTAAGCTCGAAATTGTATGGAAATATGGGAAACTATTCTGGAAAAGTTAAAAACTGTAAGAAAATGTTTGGAATCACTTTATTTGGACTGAAGTCTACATCAACGAGATACTATACAACCAAAAAGACATTGGACTTCCAACAAAGTCCAACAAAATGTCAGATATTATTCTGACCGATTCTGAACAGCAAGAATATGCCAAGAACCTTGGTCAACCTTTAATCCTCAAAACAATGACCAGATACCATTTTGCAATAAATGTTTAAAATTATTTTGGTCAGGATTGAAACTTCATGAAAATATAGCGTAGGAAACTACGCAATTAAGATTCCAGACATAAACAAGCCTTGTATGACTCTGGTAAGACTTCAGAATTTTATAAAATGTTAGAAATTATTCTACCGATTCTAAAATGCAAGAAAATGTCTGAAATTAATGTAAAGGACTCCCACTCTTCATGAAAAACTTTGGAATTAAAATAATCATATATGATGATAGTTGAGAAGATGACTTGGGTTCATATTTATCTCCCAAAATTCTTACCATAATTATGGATTTTCATTATTTTATTAACTTCATAACTTGCAATCTTTCTGTTTATTTCTGATGCTTTTGTGAATTTAGTTTGCCCATTCTAATCTCTATTGCGCCAATTTTGAATCTTTGTTGATTTGTTGCCGGGGTGTGATTAAGCGCAGTGTTGACTACGTCTTAAATACTTTCATCAAGACCTCTCTTATTGTCCAAGTGGATATCCAAATTGGCAGAAATACAATCTTGAGTTCTGATGTCTTTCGTAACTTCGTCATAAATAGGGCTAGGTTAATGATAATTAGCGTTTTGCCAATGGTAAATCGCTAATCATCAAATCATGCCAAAAATGTTATTTACTGCTGAAGCTCTCTGTACTCGAAATAGAATCAATAACAACTACATGGCATACTCTAATGATCTAATTTAATAGAGATTTGTACGCAAACTGAAAAAGTGATGTTGAGCAGTTATTGGAAGGAATTCTTTTATCGATATCAACATGACGTAGCCTGTTGCAGTACTTGCGAACTGTCCTAATTCGCTATGTTATCATAACATATTTACCATTCCTCAACAAATTCTGCATTTACATCCTGTAAACATAAAAATATAATTATTACGTTGGTTAGCATATAGAGTTCCATTGGTACTCCATTGGTTTTGTGATAAGCATAATGCCTCCTTTTTTGAGGATTTCTGATGGTACCTATTTTTTAAGCTTAACATTTTTGTTAAGGTGGCTCTTAAAATGTTCTGTCCATCTGTTGAAAACACTCTCGTATTGCTAGTAACGTTCCGTTTTTTTCCATTCACATGAAGTTCTCGGAGTACATCTGTTCCTGCCGATGTTTACTTCTTTGTAAAATTTTCTGTTCATGACCAGATACCATATTGCAATAAATTTTTAACATTGTTTTGGTCAAGATTGAAACTTCATGAAAATATAACGTAGTTTCATATGCAATTAAGATTCCAAGTATTATAATGAAATCTTGTATGTCTCTAATAAGAATTCAAAATTAGTTGACAACATGGTTTACGGGTTTATCTTTATATCCCATCTTCACCTAGAAGTTACCTGTTCATGTTCCTTGTTTTGCTGTTAGACATCCTGCATTGACTTGTTCACGTATTATCGTTTCTTTCTTTTACGTATCCCGTCTTCTGTTGTTGTGATAACTCTGCGTTGACTTTCATGTTTTTGTATTCCGCATCACTAAATATGTGTTATTCTTTATATCGTTCAAGCTATTACACTTGGTGGTCTTTTCTATGTCTAAAGTCTCCTGAGCCACTTGTCTTGTATTCTGAATTCTTGTCCAGATGTCACTCAGTACGAAGAGAGCAGCCACAATCTCGAGTACCTTCAGTGCAAAATTCAGTTTCATAGCAAATTTTGCACTTTCCGCCTGTTTTAATTGATGTTAAATTTGGAGACTCTTTGTATTACCGTATTTCTTGCTTTTATTGAAGCAATTACCAAGTACTGGTGGGAATCTGTATTGGTGTCTTATATCTATCATTATGTGGTCGATTTTAATTTTCTGTTGATCCATATTGATATCTTTCCTTTGATATAGTCATATTAAGTGATGCTACAAATTTATGAACCTTATTCTATTTTCATTGCTCTCTTGGTGGAGGCTGTACTTTCCCGTGCTTTGCCTAAATTTCCGTTCTCGTCCAATTTTTCCATTCAATTCCCCAATTATGTCTTTTACATCATACCTTAAGTATTGGTTATGTGTTCATTCCAGCTCCTCATAAAATGTGTCCTTTTCCAGTTCGTCTTTCTCCTCGTTTAGGGGTGACAATTGATAATACTATAGTTGAAAAAATTTCCGTGTATTCGTTGTTTGCCGAGTCCAGCGTTTATTGGTTCAAAGCCGATGATAATGATAGCTGCCACTTTCTGGCAGCTATACAAAACTGTATAGCTACTTCTTTTGCCGTTAACCCCACGGTGAAAACACAACCTGGAGGGTCAGGAACTGTTTTATAGGGATTACTATGTCTTAGTTAATAAGTTCCAGTTTTTAGGCACCAAAAGCTCACCTTATTCTCCTCCGTTTGCTGCATTACGTACATCCTAGTGTATGGGCAGACTGCATTGCCACACGACGGGGACGTGGAGGTAGGATTCAAATGATTAAAATTATGACTACTTTTTCCTTAAAACCCTTATAAATTTAGATTTAAACCCTAACTTTAATGTATAGTAAAATTAATTATTAATTTTTTTTAGTAAAAGTTATAAAATCGATATTCCAATTTTTGGCTAGAATAATAAACGTTTGCAATAAAGAATTAGGAACACCTTTTCAAAGATGTACGAGAGTTTTTGAAGACGCCATCATCGATTGTCACGCAAAGCTTGGCCCAAAGTTTAGTTGGTTGTGTTCAATTGCTTATGTAGCTCAAGTTGTTTGTTATTCAGTGAAAATGTTTGATTTTATCTGCGAAATTGTTGATTTTATAGGAAATAGTATCGTAGGAGTTGTTGTTAAAAGTAAATATGATAACTAAAATTATTAGTAGTAAATCAATTGAGATCAATCATTTTAGAGGTAAAGCAGTTTATCAGGCATATTAAAACAATGTTTTACGTTCGAATTCGATTTTCACATTCGTACGGTTATCAATTAAACGCGTCAAAAACCATGGAAGATGTAGCAGCTGGAATAGTTACCGAAGTTAAGGAACGCACGGAAGGATTAATGAAAATTTTCGATTTTATGAGTTGCGCTACGAGTTTATTTTTTATTTTTATGGTTGTTCGGTGGGAAATTGTGTTGATTAACTCGAAAATTAACTTTTATTATTAGATTCTCATTTTAGGGTCATGTATTATCGTTACAAATTTTTATCCGACGAACGATTTGATAATCGATTTATAACGAGGGATTTTCGCGCCATCGATTTGCGAAGAGCCCAACTTGGAAAAGAAACAGTTTTGCCACTGAATAAAAGAGAGCGCCATCTTTATATTTCGGTGAGTAAAATATTTCGATTTTATTTTGTATTGTTTGATTGAAAATTTTGTTTAGGTTGGCTCGATAAGATTGGTTAAAAAAGAGAAGAGAAAATTATCTCAAGCTGCGGTCGTTTTGGGAATTGCATCGTTAAAATTAGCCACACATATGATAGCTGATTACGCGTTATTTTGGGTTTTAACTTTAATTCGAAGACACGCAAGTTTTCAATCTTCTTACGATGGGAGTAATATACCCAAAATTAATATTAATGGAACCGGGGTGTTGGCGGATCTTCTAAGGTCTATAGTGAAAGCATTTCAGCCGGCGGGGATAAACTTGGAAATAGACACAGTACCATGTCTCCCAGATCCTATCCCTCCCGATTACGATCGATACGTTCAAATTGGCTCTCTTTTGGTGATATGCTGGTTCTTGGCTATATTTGAACCATATGGTTTGAGGTGGAGAAATTCCGTTATGTGTTTCTACCATCCATTAAGAGCCAAACAAAGAGCAATATGGTTGTATAACCATATTTTAAGAACGAGATCTTCCTTTCTTAAATTTGTCCGCCGACAGTTAAGAAGGAAATTCGCGGGTGATAAATTGATTGCTAAAGTTACCTGCAAAGAGTTTATGAATGCGTATTTGACGAAATTTCCGATTTGCCACTTCTTAATAAAACCGATGAATCAAACGGTTTGCTTGCTTTGCGGGGAAATTTTTAGAGAGGGCGATAAGGTGAAACCAATAAGGTGTCAAACACCGGGATGTGCAGGAACTTATTGCGAAAAATGTTTTGAAGACTTGCAAAATGTTTGTACAATATGTTTGGATCCGATACAATATGGAGATTTATCCGATATAAGCGAAGAAAAGTAAGTAACATTTTGATATATTTTTATTTAATTAATAAATCTTCTCAAAATAGAGACTCATCTGAAGATACAATCACGTGGAAAGATAAATCAACTGCCACAAGAAAGAAAAAGTGGTTAAAAAAAACTAAAAAAAAAGTTAAAAAACGAGGTTGGTGCAAATTCTTTACAAGAAGGAAGCAAAAAAGTAGCGACACAGAAAATTCAACAACAATTTCAAGCTCCGTTTATTCCGATTCGGAACCAACCACCGACATCGACACAGAAACAACAACTTTTTCTTACCAATTCCAAAAAGATGTCACACTCCAACAACCCGTCGAAATATATCTAGCAAAAAGCACAGATCTTGAGCAACAAAAAATACCAGATTACGTCACAATGGACGCATTCGCATTGGAGTATTACAGCTCAGACAAAATCTCCTCTGCTTTAGCAACTTTTGGGTCAAACACTCATTACAAGCAGTCAAAAGACAGTGATGTATCAAAACTTTCAGTTTTAGAAAGATCCAAACAAACCTTTACTTCAAAAGTTAAATATTTTACAGACGACGATGCAGATAACATTCCTTTATTAGATTTAGACGCTAGCACAATAGAAACTGATGATAACTCGGATTCAACTGAAACGACGTTTATCGAAAGTACGAGAAATAGGCGAAAATCGAAAAGAATCAAAAAGAAAAAATTTAACACTTCGGCTTCTAGCGAAACCACATTCATTGAGACTCCAATAAACGTTGCGTCGAGCAAAAAGTTTTCATATGATAGTAGTGAAAGTTATCATAGTGACTCAACATCTAGTGACGAAAGTTATAGAATGCACAAAAATCGACGAAACAAAAAAAACGCAACAAGTACCTCTACGTACACAGATCCCCCACCATTTGATATTCCAAAATTAAATCTAAACTTTGCTGAATGTATTTGCGATAAAGATCCTTGCACGTGTCGAAGTAGCCGTACGGTTTATTGTTACACAGAAAGTGAAACAAAAAGAAGCACGAAAAACGCAATGGTCTCAGCGAAATTAAGTTCTGCAAGAATTTCAACAAGCTCCACATCTTCAGAATATTCCGGAACGAAAACTACGCACATAGAAACTATTAATTATTTATACAACACATCGATAGAAGATACGTACCAGGCACCCCATACCAGCACTTCGCGTATTAAATCAATAGGAGATTGGGAAACGCTGAGTAATACTACAGAAACTGATACGAAGTCGTACCGGGATAAAGTGAAATCTTACTACTCAAAAGTCAGTCGGGTTGTGTTTGAGAAAGAGGTTCAAGTTGGTAAAGTTAAGATGACATCGAGAATTCGGAATTTTTTTCGGAAAATATTTAAAAGGGTAAATGTTAAAATTAATTTGTTTGATTAAATTTGTGTTTGAAATAATTTGTAAGCTAAATAATTACTCGTTCAGTTTTACTTTATTTGATTCTCTATCATATATTTATTTTCGAACAAAAATCCCCCAAATCAAAAATTATTTTACCTCCTTATTATAATCCTTAAAGGTGGGAGTCCAATTTCAGTTCAATATTGATTTCGCTTTTTACGCCTTTGAAATCCAATGTGGTGTTTCTCAGGACAGTAATTCTTTCTAATTTCTTTGAGTAGTGTTAAAGACAGCACACTGATAATCTCCAAGTATACAACCACATTTGTAGGCATCTTTTAGGATGTTGCGATTCATTTTAATTGTGACCTGCTAAAAATCAAGCTGTAAAATCTAATCTTTTACTTGAATCGATTGAAGTATTTGATATCGATTGTAGTATGATTCAGGCCAATTCTGAATGTTGAGTTTTTTAATACCGCTGCTAACAAAAAAAAATCTTGCATAGGATTTATTGTATTTTGTCTCGTTCCTTCTTGTGATAAGGATGTTCACCTTTCCTGCCATCGTTTGGGTGGTCTCCCAACTGAACGCTTGGTTCCTGGTCTTTATGTTTTTGCTAATTTAGCAATCCTATCGACGTGGTCTCTCCATTGCCGACGTCATGCTTTATGATCTCACCACGTCCTGCATTCCCCGATCTCCAGCTTATATCCTTCATACTCTATTTCGGATTGTATAGCCATTTATACTTCTTAAGGTTCTCATCTCTGTAGTCCTCATTATGGCTTTTGTGTGGAAATTTCGGCTCTAACCTTTCGGCTGTAACAGCTCTTGTATATTCGAACTTTGCATTTCTCATATGTTTGTTAGGCCATGTTATATCCCTTAGGCAGCCTGATATTATCGCTGCCTTATTTTGCTGATTCCCCACGTCATCACTGTCCTTATCTCGACTGCTGTGGACTGACCCGCAGCTGCGATGTTCGTGGTGTTGCATCAAAACTTGGAGAGTTTTCGTTTTATTTGGTGAAGATTTTACATTTATATCTTGCTTTGTTGATTTCCTGTGAATAATGCACCATGACTTTATGGACAGTAGTTTGTTCTCAGAATAACAGTATGCAGTTGTATGTAATTTCATGTAGGGGTGTATTCCTTAGGCCCAACAACACTTAGGCCCCAGCGGCCCCTTTGTACATCCTCACAATTTACAGTTCATTGAGGGGTCAGAAAACCAGCCCATGGTTTTAATGAACGTTAATATAGAACAAAAGGGTATATTCTTTATGTCTGAAATTTGGGACTATGGTACGCCAAAAATGGATTCCCTTAAGTCCGCGAGGTTGGAACAGTCACAAACAATATGACTTACCGTCTTGTCTTCTATTTCACAACCTCTACAAAGGGATGTGTTCGCCAGCTTGTAACAGAACATGTGCTTACGTAACCTGCATTGTCCGGTCAGGAAGTAGGTGAGAAGCCTCAAGTCAATTTTTAATTTTCCCAGGAACTGAGTAGTCCTCTTCTGATCAGAGTACAGCAGAGTGTTCTTTGTAAAGACACTTAGCCTAGTCTCATTCCATCTATCACAAAATGCTCGATGGGAGATGGAGTTGATCAGCATTACTTTTTAGCCATCTGTTCGGCAACCTGTCCGCATGATCGTGTCTCCTATTTTAGGTGTGTCCTTTCCGCCACTTTATCGTGACGTTGTTATAAACAGTAGTTTCTTCAAGTGATCGCCGACAGGACTTCACTAGCGATGAAGCCTGTCTGCTATTAGTGCAGATTACAACGTTTCTACCAATTTCTTTGGAGTCATTAGCTGCTATATTTATAGCAGTTATTTCAACCCAACCCAACCCTAGCGAAATAGAAAGTGCAGCTGGAGATCGTGCGAGAAAAATCCTGCTCCAGAGCCCTCAACCTTCTTTGATCCATCAGTGTAGATGGTCAGCGTTGTACCCATGCTTAAGTTGCTCTGGGGAAACTGTTCTTCAACCTTTGTCATTGCGCGGAACACTTTTTCGAGATAATTTTTTATGGAACCCTTCGTACAGTAACACACCCAAATTTGATTTTAGGGATTGATGTGTCGTATTATAATTACATATTACATGTTGTGCACAAGATGCGTCTCTGCCTTCGTCGTAAAAACTCTATATAAGAGTAACTAACTTGTGTTTATTGAAACAAAAAAGATAAATATTCCTTATAATATATAATATATGTCATAAGCATATAACTTTGTTGTGCTTGTTTATTACTGCACAATTTATCAATATCTGGATGAATCGATTTCTGTACTTCGTTTTTGTAGCGACGTATGTGGAAAAGAATTTCTCACAGAGATAGGTTGTTCCGATTTTTTTACGGCGCGTTTGGAAATTTCCGGATATTCATCCAATCATTTTATCCAAAATGGACCAATGCCATCATGTGCAATTTTTGGTGATGCATTCCTCCCAAAGCGTAAGTTTCAATTTTACCGAGTTTACTTTGCTTTCGACCTTAAAAATTGTAGTATTTGGTCCTCGAAGTGAAAGATTAACGTCGTTCAGGTACTAAAATATGTCTGCAAGGTGGGCCAAATTTTGAAATCAACTAGTATCATTAAGTTTTCAAGCAAATTCACAGTTAAAAACATACGAATTTCATCAAGCAATTCCTAGAATCGGGTTAGAACCTTTCCCTTCGATAACCATCTTACATCAGTATGAAGAAGGAGATTTTTATGTAAGCTTCCAGGTCATCACACAATAGGGTAAATACCCTGCCATTTAGGAGTCTGGATTTGATAAAATTAACCACTTTAACGGCATCATCCTTAAAAGAGGATTCGTGTATGTATCTAACGAAAATTAACAAAATTGTTAATCCATCGACATCTGTAGATTCATCCATTTGTAAAGTAAAGCCATCTTTAGCGTGTTTCAAACCATTCAGTAGTTGCGCTTCGCAGAAATCTGACATGTTTTTAATTCGTCGTGAAATCGTCGTATCAAATAATGGGACAAGGTCAATTTTGCTTGCAAATTTTTCACCAATCATGGATGTGATTAAATCTTTTGCACAAGGTTTAATCATTTTTTCTGCTATCATATAAGTTTCGCTTTGTTTAGCTATGCTCCAATTAATTAAATATGATGCTTTTAGTACATTTTTATTATCATCACGAACATACCTTTCTAAGGTACTTCTTTCCTTCTTTACCTTTCAAAGTCGGATGTTTAGTTTCCAAATGACGCTTTAACTTTACAGGATTTAAACCCGTTTGGCTCATTTTTATCGCCAATCCAAGTAAATCCAATATTCATATAGTCTTCATCCTACTTTCGTTTTTTTCGGCTTGTTAATCCAGACTTATTTTCTTCTCCACTGTTATCCGTTGGCTTTAATGTTGGCGGAAAACTGGTCGAACAAGAAATTTCGTCAAGAATTGTAGCATATACTCGTGGAGTGGAGCGTTTCAGTGGAACCCTAGGGTTCCGCGGAACACAGGTTGAAGAACACTGCTCTGGGGTACCGTCTCAATGCCAAAGTATGGCTTGATTAAGAAAGTAGGTGTGATGTAGTCTGTGCGAACTTCAAGGGGACGACTTTTCCCATTTTTACAGCCTGCTTCTTATCCACTAATCGCAGTCGAAGCAACTCCATCACGGCCACCTCCCTAATAAAAATATCTAGGGGCAGCACGTTCAGCATAGTCTCCAGTGCAATCGTGGGTGTCGATCTGATGGAATTGTTGCAATTGATGCGGGAATTCAGCCTTATATGCATGTTTTTGTGCTGACCACCAAACTATAGCCCCGCCAGCTACCATGGGTCTTATCACAGCAGTGTAGATCCACATTGTAACTCTCGGATTTAATCATGTAGTCCCAATTGTCCTTCGACACTGGGTGAGTGCAATCGTTGCTTTTTTAGTTTTGCAACTAATGTGTGATTTCCAACTCAGCCCTTTGACCAAGATAACACCAAGAACCACAGTAAATATTAAAAGTTCTTGGTTTGTAATATTTGTATATTAGCTCAGACAGAAAAGATTTAAATACGTGCTCTAGATGTTTTGAGAAGGCCACGGCATTTTGTTTTGTCATTTCTGACCTTTAGTATTCTGGTTGCTTTCCAAAGCGAGTAATCCGAAGCATCTGGTGGAGTAAGATGTTCTAGGTATTTTTGAATGCATTGTTTCGTTCCTCCTATATTAAGTTTTTCAATCCTTTAGTCTTTTAACCTTTCGGCAATTTTTTTCTGTGTCTGATGAAGAAATTATATCTTTCCATGATAGTGTTTCATAGTCCAGGGTTTCCTTTTGTATATGCTTCGTCAGGTTAAGATTCTATATCCAATTTTAATGTTTGACCTAGCAAAATTAGATTACGAAATATTTCTCTAAATACATCCCAATTGGTTTTTTTATTATGTACGGTGAGCGTTAATTATTATAATGGAGTAGTTTGAAGATAACTCAAAGCAAGTTTCTGCTTTACATTTCTTTATATCGGTTCCTTTAATAATACATTAACTTTGGCTTTTGCTGCCAATAGTTACTGAATTTTGTATTGCTTTCTGCCATTCACCATCTCATAGCTTCTTAATCCGCAAAAATTAAGACAATCAAACAGAGATTGTTGGAGAAGTGTTGTGGTTACTAATGCGATGGTGTGATCTTGGTGAGGTAGGTAGTATTGCATCATGAAAAGCTGGTTTTGGTAACATTGCTAAGGAGACGCTGGCTAAGAAACGGTTAGGTTCATTGTTCATTATTTTGTATTGGTGGTTGAGTTGACCCTAGCGGTAATGATAGATAATGGCCATTTGCCATCAAACTTTTCTTCGTCAACTTCGTCGAGAACCTATTAACAGTTTCCTAACAAAAAACGCAATATAACAATAATTTTGGAAAAATTTCCCCACTGGACATTTAGAAATTATCTGTCACTTATTATCCCCATCACATACAGAATAGATTTTTGTATTCTATGATAAAAGTCAATGTTGTGACAGTTAAAATATGTCAAAATTCTATTGAGGAATTTCTAATGGGCATTCCAAAATTCGTAATCTTTGGATGGGACAATATTGGGTTATCCAACAAATATATTAGGGGTATGTACTCAATCTGTAAGAGACTATTTAAATTGTGGTTGGGATATATTGATTTTAAAACGTATACGGCATCAGACAGATTTTCTTGTCACTTGTAAACCTATCGTGACATCGCGCGTCAATTCCATCCGCAATTAAACATTAAAATTTCCGTATATAATTGATTTTAGGATATTTTAGACACACCAAGCGCAAGCTCAAGTCTAACTAAATCTTTTTTAAGCGAAAGTGAAGAGGCGTTATCCGCCGGTGGTCTGTCGCGAAGAGGAGATCCGTTGCCGACGAATGAAAGATTGCGACCGACGCTAAATTTCCAGTGCGAGCGCGGCGAAGAAAAAAATTTTCAAAGTGGTCAGTTACTTTTCATGGGCGGTGGTTCATCGAAAGAAAAACTTGAGCATAAAAATAGTACATCCGACGGTTCCGAATCTGTAATTGTTGGAAAGACTTCGTTTGGAAAGCTTTCCGAAGAGATAGTGGTGTTTAATCAAAAATTCGGTTGGTACGACAGCACCGATACCGATTTAACTGAATTAAACGTTTTAAGGAAAAGAAAAGAAAGTGATACTACTTTGAAAATCGAACAAAAAAGTTGTGTGAAGATAGATAAAAATATCGAAGCGAAATATTCGACAAGCGAGATTGCATGCGAAAATCCATCGTGCTTGGACGTTTCAGCTGAAGAAGATACAATCGAAGAAATTCCAGATTTTACAAATAGAGATAAAAAGGAAGTCGTATTTAAAGTGTCAGTTTCTACATCCACATCCGATTGTTTGAACTGCTTTTCAATATCTGCCGAAGATCCCAATCCAACTATCACGACAACTTGTGTTTCTCATGAATCAACACAAACAGTTTCAAACAGCCAAATGAACATCGATAAAAAGCGTAATTCAGTAGATCGCTATTCCCGTGAACCACCTGAGAGGGATCAAAGTTATGATAATGGCCGATATTGCACCGATCATACCAATTGCAGGTGTCCATGCAAACCAGATTGTAAAGTAACCCGACCACCTGAATATCAACATTCACATAATCCTCACGGACCGGTTAGATACCACAGCCCACAACACTCCTCACATATGCCATCTCAAAATCAACACACCCCATGTCCTCCAATCCCTCATTCCATGCAGAGTCAATCATCGTACACAAATCATCAGTATAACCAATCCTATCAAGAATATCAACAGTTTCCTCAGTTACAATCCTCGCAATCTCAGCCGAGCTCCCAGGGATTCAAACCCCCACCCAGTTACAGCGCAAGTAATCAACAACAACCGAGAAGAGCTCCACCACCATCCAATTTTGACAGAAAGCGAACCACTTACGATCTTGCGAAAAGTGCAGAAAACATCAGGCATTCAGATCACAGTAAAATTAATAATAACATTTTCCAATCACAATCCATATTTAATTCGGTTCCAGAAGTGGGCAAAAACAAAAGTGGAAAACATGATATGTCAAAATCAGAAAGTTCAGATAATTATTGTTGCAATGATTATCCCAATTCAAGCACGCATAAATATCCGTACGAAGAACCCAACCAAGACCGCACCGAAAACCACGATAGAAACTGCGCGTGCGATTATTGTCACCACATGCGAAGAAACTATTACAGAAATTGTACTTGTTGTGAGTGTCGGAAAACGCCGTACGAAGAACTTAGTTCATTTTCAGAGGAATCTCAAAATATTCCTCAAAACATGAAACAAAGGAATTATCAGAAATCGGATGGGTATCATCCTAATGAGTTGCCGGATGAGTTGGAAACGACCATATCCCAAAGAAACAAAGAAAGGGTTAGAAACACCATGCGTCAATTCGAAATGTTAAGTCGCCAAAATAAAAGTTTGGAAAAACCAATCTACGACGATGAAGACGACGAGGACCACTGTAATATGAGACATTGTCCAAGAAATCTAAGTCCATGTTTTAATCGTTGTAACGAGAGATGTAGCGATAGATGCCCCGACAGATGCAATATTCAAAGCAGAAATGTAACCCTAACCACTAGATCAGCTTTCTCGGCTACGCCGTTTCCAAGGAGTAAAGGGTACGTTGAAAAAGTCGCCCGATACATGGATCCCGCATTAAATGATAATACTCAAAAATATCCTAAATTTAACAGTGAACAAACAAATTCTCGGTGGCAAATGGATCCAAGGACAGGCGAATGGTACAAAGTATACGACGATGGCAACTATGATTTCCACAATAATTATCCTCCACTTCCGGATCCTCCCATGGCACAATTCCGGGAACAAGATGAATATAATAAAGGACCATCAAACTCGTATTACAACCCTCCACCGCCTATAAGAAACAGCAGCCCGACCAAACATCATCACTATCCCACTCATTCAAAAACGTGTAACTGTCGGAATTGCACACCACACAGATATTAGTTAAATTTATTGTATCGTTCATTTATATTGTATGTAGAAATATAAATGTCAAAAGTTTTTTTGTGTTCTTCGTGGTAACATAAATATTATTATATGACAACAAAATGTGTTATATAAAAAATCGAAATAAAAAAAAATGTTATAAGTAAATGTTAAGTATATTTATTTATTGTCTAAATCATATCAAAGGCAATAGACTACCTTCTTGGGTCAATTTTTTTTTAATTTTTAGTTGTGATAACAATGACGATGTTCAAATTTTTTATAACCATGTTAATACTATACATGAATTTATCCCTTTAAAACACAAAACAACCAAGGGTTTTTCTACTTCGTTTTCACATAATACCATTAAAATAATTCGAGAGAAAAGGAAGGCGCACTGTAAATATGAACGTTTTGATAACCGACTTGACTACCTCACTTTTTCATTTGTAAGGTATTTAGCCCATCATAATTACATGGAGTATGTTAGAAAAGCTGAAACCAACATCCGTGGATAATTGTTTTGATTTTCTAACTGCTTGCTTTCTGTCTTCGGTTTTTCTTATTTTTGAATATTATTAACTAGTTTCCCATTTTCTTTACGTGGTCACTTTTAGTTATCTAGGTCGAATTGAATCTCGATACAAAGCAGTGACATTGCAATTGATTTAGTGAATAATCTGAGCTTAATCTTTTTATTTGAGTAGTACTTATTGTACAGAACACAGCTATTTAGAACTGGAACTCCTATGCACTATTTCACGCTTTTACTGGCAGGACTATAATAGGATATCATCTGATCAGAGAGGTAGATGCCACTTTTTATGCGATTATAATCTATTATCACAGGAGGTTTATGTATGATTTCACCATTGCGATTTTTCTTGTCAACAACTTTCGCATTGATTGTTTTCTTTTGAATAATTTTTGTATCAGTACCATGGTAAGTTGAAATAATATCCAAATACTGCATCTTTTTCTATTTTCTTTTTAGTTTTTACTTGATTTCAACGGTTCCGAAAAAATCAGTACCTTTTTTTAGGTACGTTGCTAAAGGTATGTTGCTGTACCAGGTGTCGGCAACCAAAATTGTTCCTTCATTTAGTAGTCCAGCTGCCAATGACACTACTATAAGTAGCATATAGTATTTACTAGTTACTTAGTTATAGATATTATAAGTAGTTATAGCTAATCTAAACCGGGCACTAAATTAGAAAATCCTTGGCCACAGTATACAGGTTGATTCTCAACTTATACGCATAAACTTAAGGATTTATTCCTCATGACAAATAATGTCTAATAGATGAAAAAATTGCAGTAAAACTTTTTTAGTTTCCTAGATATCCGTGTATGGGATTTCCAGGAAGACCAGGACGCCATAAATTGGCTTACTGATGGAAATACCCTTTGGCAAACTCTATACTTAGTTATTTTAATGTATTACTTACATTGTAGTATTCTTTTATGCCAATAAACTATTATTATTATTATTATATAATCGGCGACATCTAGATCATGTGTTTTCTGGAGGATGGATCCAATGGTCTGGCCTCCGTGATCCTAAAAAGCATAATGTGCGCCACGTAAGTTAATACTGAACAAATATTGCAAAATCAGGTACATGCTGCTGCACAGACAATCCGCCAACACCCTCGTTTAGGCTGCGCTAGTTGGAGATCGTGGATTCGGGGAACCCAATTGATAGAAAATATGGGAAATAACTTCTAACACTTGCTGTGATGTTATTTTAAAATGTTCTATGTATTCTTGATTTGTAAGTAAATATCACGGATATCTATGAAACAGAAAATCTTTTACTACAAATTTTTTCGCCCATTAATCATTATTCGTCATGAGGAGTAAATCCCCAAGTTTATCGTATAGGTTGAGAATCACCTTGTACATAAAAATTCCATATTTAACATCATTTAGCACAACCTGAACAGTTTAATCCCGTATTTGTGAGATTTTCCAGAATTATATTGACGAAATTGGAGTCTTCCTCTATGACAAATCATACTGCTTGATTTTTTAATAAATAAGCTGAAAAAATTACAAATTTTGTCTCCTGTTGTCTTCTGTTTGTCTCCTGGTATAGTTGCCTGATTGTCTGCAACATGCCAATTTTTCAAAAACAAGGCAAACTTATTGTAGCTCATGTTTATCTTGTGAAATAGGGATGATAATATAAGCTATCTTTTTCCAGTAATCTTCAATACTGGGAAATTTGATTATACCAGTAACTATTCATCTATTCATCAGCGACAAATGGCGAAGTCGATGTGAAAGGAGGTGTTGCTGAGCGTACTTATTGGTTTCTTTCACCATTATTTGCAATATTTCGTCGTCCATAAATTGTGGAATTAAATTAATTGATTTCAAATCATCAACTCTACTAATGCATATTTTCAACCCCCATTTCTAGTAAACATTTGCCTCGGTAAGGTTTGAAATTTGCTATGCCAACTGAAGTTTGTACATCTTCAGTACAGTAGATGAATCCTCTTCATTCTGTGAAGAATTTGAAGAAACAGAAGCACTTAGTCATATCGTCACTATCACTTACTTCAGAAAACCAGCTTGTATCATCACCGGAATTGTCATTATCGAATCATTTCTTCTCATATTTTTAGAAGCAAATGTATTTGTACAGTTTTTCTAGATTGGAATCACACCACCCAAGCGAACCACGTGAACTTAGACAATGCTTTCTTGTTGCTTACCAAATTTCTGGTTTTCTGGATAGTTTTCCCTCTCTTAACGATGATTTCTAATACTGTCTTGTCCCGAGTTTGTTGTGGTCTTCCGCTTCTTCTTGTTCCCTACAACCTAACTTACCACACTTGCTTTAGTTGTCTAGTGTCATGCATCCTTTGAAACTAACCCCTCTTTTCTCTTCTCAATAAAGATTCTCAACGTTCAATATTCAATTCCCTTTCTATATCATTGTTTCTAATCTTATCCCTTCATGTCACACCTTTCACTCTTTTCAGGTACTTTAGCTAAAAAGACGCAGCAATGTGATGTTCAGTTTCGAGTTAATATGGTATTAATTGTAGAGCCTCGGTCACAAGCGACCTCGGCTTAATCAGATAAAATCACAATAAGTAAAAAACAAACTATTCTTCTATATAGGTATAATATAATGGTGACGCGTAGTGCTTCACGGATGGAGAAGTATGTATTGTTATGGTCTATTCGAGATTTCATTAGTTCTTCCTGTTGGTTCCCTTTGGAAAGGGGCAGACGTTTCGCCAAGATCTCACTTGGCATCTTCCTAGATACTTTCTTACCTTGGATATATATATCCAGCTTTTGCAGTCCTCTCAGTCCCCTGATGCCAGGTTTCTTTCGGACATTGCCTTCTTTGTCCCCGATTTTTTTCTGTTGCTTTCTTCAGGATCCTTCCTGGACCCATTCTTTGAACGTGGCCGTACCATTGGAGCTGTCTTCTTTGAACTTCGTCGACTATCGTTATTTATGCACCCATCATCTCTCGTATGTTGGAATCTCGCACTCCATCTAGTTTAAACTTGCCAGCTGCTCTTCTCCAGAAATCCAGCAACCGGTTCTCTATTTGTTTATGTAATTGCCAGGTTTCGCACCCGTAGCGCCACTGGGATGAAGATAGTGGAATATAGTTGTTTTCTTTTATCTGAGATCTTTTTTGACCAAACAAGGGAGTTTATGGCTTTTTTTATGTTACAATTACCAAGCTAATAAGAGTGATAAGTAAGGTTATGCGTACATTATATGTGATCTACCTAACTGAACTAATCATTTTCAGACGTCTTGTATATCACATAGTATCTACACATACTTTTTTTTTTCATTAGTGTATTAAAACAATTTATATTGTTACTATTCTACAAGAACGTATCCTAGTAGAGCGCATATATAGTAATTGCAAAAATTGTAGTTTGTAGGAAAGGCAATAGGTTAATAATATCTTGGTATTTCCAAAAAAAAAAAGCGATGAAATGTCAGTAATAGAACGTCACAAGCAGTCATAAAGCAGTCATAAGTCGGTCACCTTTTGTTTGTATTAGGTGTAGAATATTTCGATCAAAATTCCTCAAAATTCACGCGTGTCGACTTTAATATGGAACCTATTTAAACTCCACCAAACAAGCCACACTTCGAAACATCTAAGTAAAATCCCTATTCAAAAAATACTAAATCAAGGTAATAACCACAAATGCCGTCAACCTGACGGATTTACTTTATTCACTTTATTAATTTTATCTTATCGTTTACTTTTATAACATACAAATTGAAGATGGGATCATATCTCGATGAATACCCACAATCTTCACGTAGTACCATGTATCTAGCCTACCAGAATTCCGATGAGTATCCCGAACTTCTCGAGGATTTACAAAACACAATTTCCCAAAGAAACAAGTCCAGAATTCAACACACTATGCGCCAATTTGAATATTTAAGTAATAATAACAAAAACATTGATAAGTCTGTATTTGCGGAAGATGATCGTAACTACAATGATCAAAATAATAACGAGAATGAGCAACGTTATAACCACAGGTTTGTTTGATATTTTTGTAGATTTGAAAATTTTTAATCAATTTTTTAGTTCTAGATGTTGCAGAAAACACGGTAATAATTGTCAAGTTTGTGATTATTGTCCAAATTTTTACGAATGCAGAAAAGTTTTCGAATCAAATCAACCGTCAAACGATTATAGAACACACAGAAGCAGACGGTACACAGATTTAAATAGTAATCGTTGCGTGGACCCTTCCTGGAGCGACAGCCAATTAAAAAACGGACAACAGAGGAGTCTTTCAAATTCACGTTGGCAAATGGATCCTAGAAGTGGTTCATGGATAAAAATGTACGATAATGCTAGATACGATTTTCGAGACTATCCCTCTTATCAGTACCAAGAGACAAATTATCACAATAATTGCTCTTCGAAAATGCTCCCATCCAAATTACACCATTACTTCTCGAGGCAACGACATCGATCCGGAAGCCGCAAGCGTTTTCACGAAAACAGCAACAACGTGTGTACGTGTCATCATTGCACTGAATACAGGCATTAACGAGAAACCAGACTTTTTTTTCTCAAAAAAAATAATTTCAATGTGTAATTTGTGTTAAATAAGTAGGTATGGTCAACATTTTGAATTTTTTTTTGTACATTAACATTTTGGAACTTGGCTTGTCTATTGTAAAACAGATGTATGTTATTAATCACATCTCTTTATATTTAACACTGTATTAATGTAAGAACCAAACAAGGCTAATTTACTTACAATATTTTAATAGCTAATACAGTAAACTGTTGTATTCAAAAAATTTGTTAATCGACTTTTTTCCTGGTGGTTTAAAAAACAGAATGAAGGATCTCTCTCTCAGGTAATTACTATACCGGTTTACCATAATTGGCCAACGGCCGCTCTTGGAATGTATGCAGTTTACTTTGTGCAACACACTGAATGCACCTGCCTAAGTAACACGTGATTTTGAATCTACTCGTAAAGAAAGAAATAGAGAAACAGTTATCGGTACGCTCTCGAAGAGTAAACAAGGAAAAGCGATTGTTAAAGTAAAATCTTTTAACACTTAATTTAATTATATTACCATCAACATGAATTGTATTTGTTGAATATTAAGTGAACGGTATTTGAAAGTTAAAGAAGCGGAAAACGACAGTTTGGAATTTTTATAACTACTACGGTAAGACCATAAGAATTGTAGACATTTTTTTTGGCGAAATTCTTTACCGTTAGATTGTTGAGAATTCGAGTTACTCACTCAATAGTAAATGCTAATTTCAAGTTACAATGTTTTTTTTAACTTTCTCTGCATAGTATCTAAACCAGCCTTAAAAAAAATGGGTAACCCGGTTTGTTTAAAATTGATAATGCTTTTTAGATTCAAAATTCCTTTACGTATATTATTTTAAGATTTTTGCCTTGATCGAGATAAAAACAAAAAAATATTTAATTCTTTTTAATCACCGTTATAAAATTATATTTTTATCGGGGTTATTTCAGGGTTGTTGTCGTATCTTGTTATTTAATTGTTTTTGTTTTCACTCTATTATCATTATTATTATGATTCATTTTAATTTAGATTTTGCATTCATTAAGATTTCTAATTCTTATTAATAAATTCTTGGTTTGATTATATTGAAAAATGTTTTAAATTCTGCGTAATTATCTTACGATTTTTATTTTTACAATCATTAAAAACTTTCCACTTGTCCTACATTCAAATTCAATTTTAGAGAAATGTATGACATAATATTGATAACCCAATAAAATTAAACAATGTTTAAATGAGAGATTAGATTAATTCCTAAGAGCATGTATATAGGAATATTTTTAGTTTATATGCAGGTATTTTAAATATAGATGTTTGAGTTTTTTTTGTAGCCGAGAGCTAGGTGATGTTAATGCCGACTCTTTAAACTGTATATTTTTAACTTGTTGTCACGGAATACCTGTGACGATGTGGGTGATTTCACAAAACATGACGCAACTAAAACAAACCTTCAGCCATTGTATTCTAACTAAATGATGGCACCAGCATCAATGTTGCAATATTATAGCAATTAGCGAGAATCATTCTCCCTAAAATATAAAAAAACAATGACAAAACATTGTATTATGCTCTCTACAGTTATGGCACGAATTACTTATTTGTATATCAAGGTTATTGACAAATCATAGACAAATATAGTAGTTGTAGCCATGAACGTTTTGAGGCCGAGACTCTTGAATGTGTACAATATAGCGTACAATTTTAAAAGGATGAATCCTTAACACCTTAGGAGATTCTCTTTAAACCAGAAAACCTTAAAGTATCCAAAATTGGCGCTTAAATAACGCAAACCGCTTATCAACCTTGTTTTTGTCCGGAAATGCAGAAGGTAACATAAATATTTCTTAATAAAGTGGAACACCACATTGGATTCCATTGGTGAATTGGAAGTGTGAAAAAGAAAAGTTCCCTAGAGAATGGAAAAGTGACATTATTTATTTTGTATTCAAAAAGGAGGATAAGCTGATTTGCTCGAACTAGAGAAAACACCTTGCTTGTGGTTATGTTTATGAAGATAATCCATAGGCAGCTAACTCCAGTGGCAGAAACGATCATCAACCTAGCAAAAATTAGAACCTAAATTGTTCTAGAGATCAGAATCACCATACATCGATTGGGAAAATGTTGGAAGAGTTCTAAATACCACTAAAGATACAAAAACTGATAAGAGGTGCAGTGGAAGAAATCAAGGGTCAATGTAATATAAGCAACCTTCTGTTAGAGGAGTTAGAAATTAAATGCGCCCTGAAGCAAGGGGGACGTCCTACACCGCTGTTGTTTAATGTCGTCCTGGAAAAGGCCATACGACGAATTGCACTGCACCTTGTACGATGTACAATCGTTAACTTGAAGAAGCAGAGCAGCATTAGAACAATAAAACGATTGTGGAAAACACCTGGGTGTGTAAAAAAGTAAATGGAATAGCAAATATGTAGCAGGATGTTTATTAAACATGCGGCAAAAATGCAAAGATATTCTTTGGACTATTCTAAGAATCGAACTTCGAAGATACAGCATGAACAAAAATTTCAACAGCAACAACATTTTATTACTAATAATTACAAATATAAGCTTCCTAATCTACAATAACCGTAGAAAATGACCACCTCCAGCTAAGATGTAAGAATCCAATCTTCTCCTCATTGAATCCCGAACCATTTCAAAAACACCACGATCGTTTGTTATTGAGTCAGCAATTATACGATTTCGCAAGTCTAGCTCATTTTCCACTGGAGTAGTGTAAACTAAAGATTTAAGATGGGCTCATAGAAAAAAATCCAGGGAGTTTAAGTCCAGGGATCGGGCAGGCCATAAGTCCACGATCAATCCAGCGATCTCCATATGTTACTGTTAAAAACTCACGAGCAACCCTACTAAAATGCGCTGGTGCACCATCGTGCATAAACCACATTGAATTTCTTATTTCTAATCGTACATCCTTGAGAAACTGATGTAACGTTTGTTCCAAAAAGTTACAATACATTTCGCCGGTAAGTCTTCTTGGTAGAAATACTGCTCCAACTAGCTTACCCACAATTCCAACCCAAACGTTCAACGAGAACTGATGTTGAAATCGTTCTTCACTTAGCTCATGTGGATTTTCTTCAGCCCACACATGTTTATTGTGTAAATTCCTTATGTTGAGGTATTTGAACAAATTTGCCCAATAGCCATTGACAGAACGCTAAACGTGGAAGAAAATCAGCAGGTAGCAATTCTTGAACGCAAAAGCTTCACAGTATTTGCAATTATTCGAGTAGAAATGCCTGGTTATTCCTCTATTATGTTCAACACATTCTCTTCCAGTTCTACCGTTCTAACTGTCATTGGCCTTCCTGATCCTCCACTTCGTTTCAATGAGTCTATTTCATGAAGACATTGATGAATACTTTGGAAGATTTTTCTATCAGGTATATTACGGTGAGGAAATCGGTCAATGTACAATCGTCTAGCTTTCAATGAATTACCATCAGCAAGCCCATAAATAAAATGCATGTCAGTCATCTCAGCGTTGTATAGCGATTCATGACACAGCACTTTACTAACAATAGTTAATAAAGTAATAATAAAAAATAACCACACGTCACTCATTCTCGATAAATTTGGCAGATACTAAATCATCAATTGAGAGATGTGTTCAATTAAAATAACAAAATATTAATAATAAATAAACTGTATTTCTTTTCAATAGACTTAATAATCGGAATGTTAGATTACCTCAACAGGATCCAGTAAATATCCAGATTGGAGGTAACAACCTTGGAATGGTGAATGAGTTTAAATATCTACTTAGGCTCCAAGAGTTTGAAAGAAAGATCTTACCAAGGACATATGGGCCAAAATATGATACAAACCTAGGAGAATGAAAACAATTAATGAACTACGAGATAAGAGAACTGCAGGAAGAACCAGAACTATCAACGTGGATTTCAGCCTGTAGGCTGAAGTGGTTGGGACACATGTGCAGAATGCCGACAGAGAGAGGGGGATGGAGGGTACTCACTTAAACACAGAGGACCGTCGACAAAAAAGAAGGCCAAGGGGCTGGATGGATGGACAATATTAGGGAGGACTAAAGGGTGCAGAACTGAAGTAATGTAACCACAAATCGGGACAAATGGAGGCGTGTTGTAAAACAGGCCAAGGCTAACAATGGGCTGTAGTGCAATAATTTGTGTATAGACGTCAGAATACCGTTGAGAACAGCCAAACCACCAATGTTTGATTTGACATCTGGTGACAGAATTTTTTTTATCTCAAATCCGGCCAACATCATAAATAGAATACATGTTTTACAAATGAATACATGTTTTTGTGGCTCTTCGACCCTACTTAGAGTGCTCGACCATGTTGATTCTTTACCCCGTTTTTTGAGATGAAAGATGATTTTCATTAAGTAAGTAAATGTTTTACATTTGTCTTCAGTTACTTATTCTGTGTCCGTTTTTAGTGGGGATATATGTTCATATTCATTTTAAATTTTTCTCATCGTTTTGAAATAAGGTTTTGATATTTTTGAATACGGTCCTATGTAATTGTTGGTTTGGTTGAGGTTAGCGTGAATATTGCCATTGTCTCCTAGCATCTTTTCTTTCTTTTATCGTATCCATGATGTGCTTTTGTCACAGAATATCTAGAAGGGACACTGCAGGTAACCCGCCAAAACTCTGTCTGTGCGGCGACGCAACGCCATGTTGTTGTTATTGGTGTTACCTTTGGTTCCCTCAACGATCTGGCAACGTCGCTCGCTTCGCTTCTCTCGAATGAAGCCTGACCGTTGGGTTCCCTTCTTAAAGATGAAGAAATGAAATCGAGGTTAAAAAATACGCTTGCTTCAACATCAAAGGAACCGACATCAGTGTCCTTTCTGTGTGCTTTGGTAATGTATAATTCTTTAGGTTGATAGAACTTGGTTTATATGTCATAGATGTTGTAACAGCTTTCGATATATTATACGTTGATATTTCATTTACTCTGCTACTGTTTACGGTTTTCAATTAGATAGTATTTTATATGTATAGTATTTTGAATATAACAAAAGAACGTCTTACCGATTTGGGTCAACTATCTCATTCGATAGCTTGATCCTTGGCCAATACTAAAGTTGAAATGCCCAATCTTACGAATTCCGTTAAAACACCAAAATATTCCGAAAAAAAATGAATGACCTTTTTTAAATGGTCATAATTCGTAAACAATGTACTCGATTATCAACATCTATACGTCATTTGATTCGCCATAGATTCTTCTATCGAAATCGCAACATGCCCGATTTCAATTTCGTCTTACCCCTGAAAGACTGTACTGGCTCTACGTGACTGTGGTTAGGCCTATGATCACATACGGAGCGGCAGCCTGGTATAGGAAAGCCCAACAATCTGACAACATCGTTCGCTTTGCTTCCCTCTGGATAGGCCATAACGCGTTAAAAACTGTCCTATTTATATACACGGAATGTTTGTACACAAGCGAATGTTTGTAAACAGCTTCGGTGTTTTGATTTACTTTTGTTTATAATATTTTTAATAAAAAATTGATTAAAAAGCGTTAAATTGGGCTAAAACTAATTGATAAATATATTTGCTGAATGTAAAGTTATTATTTTGCATTGTGGTTACTTGACGCATGTAAATATAAACACGTCAGTGTTTACAAACGTGTATAAAAGCATAGCAATAGCCCATTCATAAAGCATAGAAAGCCCGACAGACTTCAGTTATCAGTAAACTTTCACGAATTCAATGAGTAGCTGGATTGGCAATCTCTGGTACGAAAGAACAACGCCAACTCTAGCAATGGCTGTTCTGCTTGGCCTATCTCCTTTGCATTTGCATATAAAGAATGTGGCCAGAACTACCATTTACAGGTTTAAGCTATATTACCAAAACTGGTCCGATGTGTCCTACCAATGAGCTGCAGTAGACATTATGAGCACTGATATTGTGCTATCAATGCCGTCAGATTTGACGGGATCACTACCAGTGATTAATGCTCGATACCAGATTGTACTGCCTGAACGGCTGTCCTGGATTAAAAACGAAAATTCTCTGGTTCAGGCATATAAGAGACTAGAGTCTCGCCTCATCTTATCCCGCTGTAACACCTTTACTGAGTTCTTATAATTGTTTAATTTTTGATTGTATCTTTTTAAAAAAACATTCCACGCTTTTTTAAACGACGCCATTAGTTATTTTACATATCCTCAGTTTTCTTGTAACTTCATTGACTTTGTCGTCGATGATTCGGGGTAACCCGAAACTAGTACTACACTAAAAAAAACGCCGGAAATGGTCGGGGCAGGAGTATACACGGATTAAGCAAACTTATAGCTTGGGTATGTACTGTACTGTATTCCAGCCGGAAGTATTTGCTATTGACATGGGTGCTAGAATCTTGATAGAGGGGTGAAGAACATGGCAGCACGATTTTTCTCATACAGTCAAGCCGCTCTCTAGGCGCTAAAGGCCATGAAAACGGTGTCGGCTCTGGTTAATGACTGTAAAGAAACTTTAAACACACTGAGTTGTGATCTACAGTGATCAACAGAGTTTCTCTGATCTAGGTTCCAGGTGCTGGCAATGAAGCGGCAGATGAGCTAGCACGACAGGGCAGCGCTAAAGCGTTTATGGGACCAGAGCCAGCAGTTGGTATATCATTTGCAATGGCCAAATATGGGATTGGACTGTGAGCTGAAGAGAGATTTTGCCTACTGTGGACCAGTTCTCCTGGAATGAGACACGCTAAATTGTTCATCAACATCGCCACTGTCAAATTCGGGAATATTTTAGAATATTTAGAATTTGGGAATATATTGAATGTCAACTATGTGTGGAGGACCAGGAGACGGTTGAACATGTTTTATGCCACTGCCCTGCTGTTAATTGTATCTGTAGGATCTGAATGACTTTTCACCAAGCAAGGCATTAATGTTCGTTAAGAGCATTGGACTGCACGGTGTAATTTGATAATATTATCTAACGATGTACAATAGATTTTTGAGGTTACGGCGCAAGGTTGGTTGGTCCGCCTACCCGATATACAGGATTTCCCAAAACTCCCGGGACGTAGCTATACGCTCATAGATGGAATTTTGCACCATCAGAAGCATATCCCTAGTGATACTGTTGGTTCTTCAAGTATGCGAATTTCCAAATCATTTATTGATTCTGGTTTTGTTGCATACAGTCTACTTTTCAGAAAACCCCAAAAGAAAAAATCGAGTGGTGTTAGATCAGGAGATCGTGGTGACCACTCAATTTCACCTCTACTACCAATACAACGATTTGGAAACATACGACTTAAAAAGACTCGGACTGCGCGACTAAAATGTGAAGGATCACCATCTTATTGGAACCACTTATTGTCAATACCATTAGGGCATACGGCTCGTACACTTAGAACAGTTGCAGATATCTGTCTCCGTCCAAATTTCCATGAATAAAAAATGGACCAATTATATTCTCTCTCATAATACCAGCCCATACATTAATTTTCTGCGATCTCTGAGTATGACATATTTCAATACCATCATCAATTCTGTACATATCATCGGAGAATCATCGTACTTGGACAGATTAGAAACGATGATCTCCATCAAGTTATTTTTGCTAAATNTTACATTCTCTCTCATAATACCAGCCCATACATTAATTTTCTGCGATCTCTGAGTATGACATATTTCAATACCATCATCAATTCTGTACATATCATCGGAGAATCATCGTACTTGGACAGATTAGGAACGATGATCTCCATCAAGTTGATTTTGATTTTGATTTTCTAAAATCAACTTGTGTTTGAAAATTTTCTTTATACCAGGAAGCGATTTGTGCAATATTAAGGCCTTATTTTCTAAAACTATACTGCAAGATTAATGGTTTAACTGACACAAAATGTCTCTTCTCTTTCATTTAAATTTATTTGCGAACTTTTCGTCCTTCAGACTTAAGACTTCATTTCCTTTCGGAATTTAAAAGCAAGAAGGTGCTTTGGACATTAAAAATTTAAAGAGGTCTTCAGGAATGTCATTGCAATTGTTCACCAAAGGGTTGAGATGAGTTAATGTAAAAACGTGTAGTACAAGAACTATCATAACTAGTTTAAAACCATTACTACATGTTATATGTATCAATTATTGATACTTTTAACTTATTATATCTTATATTTTAGAGGCAAATGATTTAAAAAAGAAATAAAATCAAATTAGAACTAGATATATTTTATTTTTAACACATCCTCTATTTTATTTTGAATTTCTTTGACTCAAATAGCATTAAAATATAATTTAAATTTTTCAACATTTCAATTTGAATCATATACAGCGATTGGACTTTAGGTTAGGTTTTTCCAAAACACCAAAATTGTGTAACAATATATTCATGAGATTGTAAAATTCAGACTGTTATCATGTTTGTTTCGATTAAACTTATGCTTTAAATTAAATTATAATTAAATCAAAAATTTTCATAGTTAGGTATTTGAAATGTGTTAATTAAATTTTTTATATAATAAATCCAAACTAATTTTTTAATATGACAACATGAATGATTTTATACGTCATCCTTCTTTGATTTACAATGTCATATAGTAATAATGGGTTCTTTGAAAAGTGGGGTATTCTTATACGTTTTTGATCATGATACAACAAAGAAATTTGATTTAAATTTGTAGTTTAAAAATGCGGTTTTTGTATTAAAATAATAATAATATAGGGATCAATCACTTTCCATAGATACCCGGTAATTTTTAAATTTTAATAATGATTTTTATCAACAATTTATCTACATTTTTTTCGGTAAGTAACAATATAATTTGTTTGTGTCTCAAAAAAGTTATTTCCCAAACTTTATCGTTAACACATCCATAAATAATTTATTTCTAAATTCTTTCTTGCGCAGATACAATCCTTATCATCGGTTTATTATTACTTTTTTTTCTTGATTATTCGCGGCTTATGTCGATATATATGCGAACTGAAACCGGTATTTGTGTATCGTAGGTTTGAACGACCAGGGCAAAACTCAGTCGACGTATAAACTCTCCACTCAATTCCAAAACCACGAAACTCGTTTCTCAAAAAAATTTTACATCTAAGGGAGGTATTGCAAAAAGGAAATTTACTTTCAAGATGCCTGTAGTTACAAATTTAGAACAATTAATTGAAGAATTAAGGATAGTTTTTGATAGTGACCAAGTGGACATCGATTACGTTAAAGAATTAATGACTTCGTATAAATCTAACAAAGAAGACTGGGCTAAATATGCTATGTTTGATCGATTCAGGTAAGTTACTTTTTTTAACTCATTTTAATTGAGAGTAAATAATTATAATTTAAATTATCATCAAGGTGTTGTGCAATACGCGTTCCTGATAGAGATAAGAAAAATCTTTATTACAAAATGCAATTTCGTCCAATGAGCAATAAAATACGATGTTTATTCTAAATATAATTGGTGTCCATGGTAACAATGTTTAATGATCAATGTTTATAACAAAAATCTTATCGTTTTCGGCATAGCTTTTACTAAACCTAACTAAAACTTTTATCGGTCGCTGATAAAAATTACAATGTCAATTTTGTGGAGTCGACACCAATATAACTTTTTAACCTTTTTTAAGATTTTTTTTATGATAAAAATATTATGTTGACCTCCAAGCAATAATTTGCGTGTACAATAAAAGTAAGAAATCCCCGACAAGTTGTAATAAGCGAATTCTAAGAAATTTACAATTATATCTGATTATATTTTTTTCTTTAAGTAATTTTTAGTTGATAATAAAACTGAATCATTACATTAAAAATTAAATAAAACTGCCAAAATAAAAATTATAATGATAAGATATTCATATCTGCGTCATTCATTAAACAAATAAGAATTTTTTTTTAAGTTGTTAAAAAATAAAACGCTTAAGGAGAATTTAAGCACTGAAAATGGTACTTTATCCTCAAAAGAACAATTTGAAGTTTCATATCTTATATTATTAGATCGGTGCCATATAAAATTGCGTGAAAGATCACCCAACTCAATTTAATAAAATTATATAATATCCTCGATTTTATTAGACTCTAAACGCATGTTTTTATTATCAAGATCAAAAATTTTCCAAGCAAAATAGTAATTCTACGTCACTATCTAACCTGAAATGGAAGCTTAATCTTAATTTAAAGCGAAACAGAAATTTTGAAGTCTCCTTTACTTCCTAGCCATTCTGTTTGTGATTTATTTTATCCAACAGCATCTCAATATGTTCTAATTTTCTTTGCGAAATGTTGAATGACTAAGTGACAATGACGCATACTTGTGGATGACGATTTTATCAAAAATTTCACTCATATCATCACAAAAACAAACAGCATCTTCTTAAACGAACTATCAGATTCCAACGTATTCAATAACTTGGATTGTTTAAGCTGTGAAGATAACAACACTGCTTTTATCTTCGGCTAGTTGAGGCCTATCACTACGTCATAGAGATCATGCGTCTAAATGAAGTGTTTTCTTATTACCTATTCGTCTAATTCAGTGTCACACTCTTAATTACGTGCTTTGAACAGCAGCTGCAGCATGGACGGTGGTTACAAGATAATTTTCGCTGAATGGTACTGAAGCAGAAGAATTATTCAAATATTATTCCCGAAGGTTGAAAACGTTCACTCTTCCAGGCAGAGACCCTTTCAGTTTCATTCTTTTTTCATTTTTTATTTGGCTAAGAAGGCTTTCGCGTTGACATTCTCTATTCATAACACTGGGATTTTGTTATCAGATCTTTGATAGATCTTTGATAACACTTTCACACATTCAATATTAAGTCAATGGTCCTTGTATATACAATAAATCAAGAACTTTGTGTATTATGAAATGATTTGGTTGCTTTGTATATTTACTTGTGCTACATTAAAAGTAGTTATCTTTTGAGTCTACCATGGTAATATTTGTTCAAGGAAGTAGATTGTAGCGTCTCGGCCACAAGTGACCTTCGCTACTATCTTTTTGACAGTATAAATTGTAGTGCATCGGCCAACATTTCTTTAACGAAGTAGATCCTAGCATTTCAACTACTATATCTTCAAAGGAGTAGATTTTAACCTTAATCCTTGGCTGCTACTTCTTAAAGAGAATGACTACTGAACTACTGAAAGAGAAGGAACGACTACAATGCATTGCAGAAAGCAAACGTCATCTGCCTGATATTATTTTTAGAACATAAATTCACTTGTTCACTGTTAACGTCTAAATTTGACTATTTCGTAATCATTTTTTTTATGTTAACAAGCCCCACCCTCTATATCGAGGTTACAAAATTATATTTATAGAATCCTAGGAAGATAGGTCGCATGCACCGACATGCTGCATTCCAGACAATTACTTGGCCTCAATTGTATCACCTCGGCTTCGGTGTCTTTCCTCGTTGTTAATAATAAATGATGAGTTTCCTATACAAATAAATGCTTAAGCACAATGCTTGATGTATTGTCGACGCAATAAGAATTGTATTAGTGTATAAGAATTGTATGAGTGTGTAAGAATTTCTTCCTCGTTGGTAACAACACCTCTTGATGTATTGTATATCAAGGTTATAAACTTTTTTGTCGAGTAGCGTAAAGAAATAGATGTCACCAGTGAAATGTGAAACCAAAGATTAATGAATAATAATAAAGGCCTTAATATGAAGGCCTCAATTGTAGCGCTTTAGCTTCGGTGACTTCCTTGCTCTTAATACCACATCGATTTTACCATGCAAATAAATATTGTCTATCAAGCCTGTAATCGCCACAATTACAACAATATTGATATATTGTTGATGCAATAAGCGTTGACTGAGTATATCGCCTCGGTTCTAATTCCTTTCTCGTTGATCATATCAGTGTTGGCCTCGCTCTTAATCTATTCCTCATTGATAACAATACTTCGCAATTTATTGTATATCGAGGTTAAAAGTTTTTTTTTCTAAAAACAGAGGTTGTACTCGCTTATAAACGAGATGCTGCAAACAATTATTGTGTATCGAGTCGCTGAAAGTCACCAGAAAGGACACTGACTTGAGTGTCCTTTCTGGTTATTCTGTGACTTTACTATGGACGTAATCAGTGTTGATGATCCTCAATCATCACGCCTCGGTTTCAATATCTTCCTCATTGATGGTAATAAATTCGTGACCTTACGTTGCAACTAAATATTGTATATTGAGACTGCAATCAACACATTATTACTTGATGTACTGTGGATGTAGCGAGTGTTGAATGAAGATGGCGGCTTTAATTTATTCCTAGTCAATAACAACGTCTTAATATATCGCACATATTGTACAGATTGTACGAATCGTATTATAGAAAAAATATTATACATGCAGCAATTCATTGTATTATATTCATTATATTTATTGTACTGGATACAATCTCGTCTCGCTGTCACTTTTCGTTGTAAAGTATTATACCTTATAATATATTTTTAGTGCATAGTACAATCCATTTCTCTCAGTGCATGGTCGTTTTTGGCAAAGACACTGCAACAGAGCGAATTACTTAATCTATGCCTCAGCTTAGACATCTCCTCGATGTAAATAATGCATTGTGAAGTTCCTATGCAGATAAATATTATATATTAACATATTTATTGGACATCTTCTTGATGTAACAAGTCTTGAAAAACAACTATTTTCTTTGGTTAACCTCGTTGTTAATAATACGCCGTTATTTTGCTAAGTGAATAAATATTGTAATAAGACAACTTGTTAATGTCTCGTGGATGTAATGAACGTTGAAAGCATTAATGGTAGCGGAGCAGCCCCAAGCGACCTTGGCATCTTCTTCATTATTAATATATCGTAATATTGCTATGTAGATAAATATTGTATATAAAGCGTGTAATCAACACCGTTACTTGATGATCTCTTTAACGGTGTAAACTGTAGCGAAACTACCAATATATATCTTTAACGAAGTAGGTCCTAGCGCTTCAGGCGCCAGCGACTAAGCTACAATCTTTCCAACCTACTCATTTTCAGTTTAATTTCACTTTAATTTAACCATATGTTCTATTCTGGGCCAATATGAGTTATAAACAAGATCTTGAAAGATCTCTAAACAGTACCCATCCTCAGCTTGTAACATTACGGCGTAGATAGATTACAAAAATGAAATAATCATCATAATTCTTAGAATGATCAACGTCGGGATATCTTTTCATTAAATTGAAATTATTCATAATATTTACAAATTTATTATTTAACAGAATCATGTGACCTAATACATTCTCAACGCTCTACATGTCACATGTTTTGCAATTTTAGAAAATAAGCAAAGTATTATTTTCTTAATTCCGATTTATAAATAAACCATGTTTACCCAAAGCAAGGATGCTAAATTAAAAACTATAAATATGAACGTAAACCATAATATAATTAAAATATTTCAATACAGTACACATCATCAGCTTGTAACATTACGACGTAGATAAATCACAAAAATCAAATAATTATCATAATTCTTAGAATGCTCAACGTCGGGATATTTTATTTATACCCCCGATTATTTATTAAATTTAAATTATTTGAAATAACATCCTCTCATAATATTTACAAATTTATTATTAAACAGGATCATGTGACTTAATACATTCACAACACTATTAAATGTCACATATTTTGAAACCAATTTTAGAAAATAAGCAAAGTATTATTTTCTTAATTCCGATTTATAAATAAACCATGTTTACCCAAAGCAAGGATACTAAATTAAAAACTATAAATATGAACGTCAACCATAATGTTATTAGAATATTTCAACACTTTAAGTTCAAATTAAACATGTAGATTAACTTGTTATTTATTAGCTGACGTCTGATTTGATATTATGCACGCCTCTTAAAAAAATTATTTTATCCGAGTTTTGTCTTGCATAATTACACACGCAACTAATCCAATTTAAAAGAACAAATAACAATAACAAATTCCATTCATCGTGTTATTGTAGTCGGTTTATTTATTTCCGTTTCAAGTTAATTTTCGCTGTGATTGCAAACGATATTAAATTTTTCTTATCGCGTAAGACGAAACAATAAAAAGTATTGTTTTACTTGATACTCTTCATTAACATTTCTTTTTTTAGAATAATGATTATTGTGATTGAATTTGCATTACTTTTTAGGTATACAAGAAATTTAGTGGATTCGGGTAATGGTAAATACAATTTAATGCTTCTTTGTTGGGGTGATGGACATGGTTCAGCAATTCATGATCATGCCAATTCTCATTGTTTTATGAAAATGTTACAAGGAAAACTAAAGGAGGTTCGTTATGAATGGCCTGATGGTGAGGATAGCGAAGAAATGGTTGAGATTGGATCGAAAATTTTAGATTTAAATGAAGTTTGTTATATAAATGGTGCGTAAATTTGATCTAAATAACAAAGAATATATTTATTTATTAATTTTTTTTAGATAAAATTGGTCTGCATCGAGTTGTAAACGCATCTGATAATTGTCAAGGTGCCGTAAGTTTACACCTTTATTGTCCACCATATGAAAAATGTTTGGTATTCAATGAGAAGACCGGGCAAAGATCATCAGCTCAAGTAACATTTTGGTCAAAGTACGGATCGAGAACGTGAAATGAACAACTTTTATTTGTTGATGTTATTAAGAAAACGGTCTTTAATGTTGATAACAACTAATTTGGATAAATATTTTAGTATTTTTTTTATAAAATGTTAATAATGATAAGTGTCAAACTATAATTTATTAAGAAAATATTAGATAAATATGGACTGTATAAATTGTGAATTTTTCCGAAAGAAAGGAAAAAATGTCTCAAAAAACACCTCAAACTTCTTTTTTGTATTTTGATTACTATATTTTTATTATAAAATGAATAAAACTTTAACAAAACGAACACTTTAGCCTAAAAATATATTTTACCACGGAAATGATTATGAATATTTTTTATTATTTCCATTGAATTTTCATTCCAATCCCCATAAAAAATAAACATATTGAATCGTGTGGAACTTTCAAAACCATACATTTTTAATCTTATTAAATATCACTATTACAATTAAATTCAGTTAGTACACAGAAACAAACAAAAATATAGAGAGTATACAAATTCATCATAAAAAATAACCTTACGTTACGTGTACTTTGCAGACGATGGTTCATACAAAAGTGATTGACAGTGTCCAGGTAGGCATTCAGTTCGCACATCAACATTTTCAAATTGGCTCGGAATTGTAGGTCAGAACTTGAGATCCTTAATCGCCTGCGGAAGATCAGGCAGCTTCATATCTTTTATTTGCTGAGGGATATTCATATTTTTCACAGCAGAAACAGCTCGCGCCGGAGCAGCAATAATCCCCGCCTAAAAAAATATTATTCAACAAAAAAATCTTAAACACCAATTTTTATAATCACCTCTTGTTTTTCTAATTTATTTTGATCTTCTATCCGCGTTAAGATCTCGGTCATATTAGTTTCTAAAACCATCCCACCCATGACCAGCTCATTTAGGATATAATGGACTTTATCGACGTGAAAAATAAGATCTAATTCGCAGACGTTCTCAAAACATTTATCGAGTGTTTCTACGAAAACTTGTATAAGATCTAAAATGCCCAACTCGCTTTCAGACGAGTCTACGCAAAATACGAAGTAAAGTGTTGCGTAGTGTCTATATATTAGTTTATAATCGCTACCTCCAATTAAACTGAAATAAAGAAATATAATATTTAATGATTTATAAAATCTATAAAAAACTTTCGCTTCTAATTTCTTGCGAAGTTTGTCCAAGTCCTTGACACGTTCTTATAGCAGGACACCGTGTAAGAATAATGGGACAGGGAGGATTATTTCAAGATCTCAGCAAATTACTCGGCGCAGCTTAATATGTGTATCTAAGAGGGGAGATGTATCCGAAATAGATGAAAAAGCGCGGGTAGATAAGAATGGAAGTTTTTTTACGCTAAAGAATTGAAGAAAGTAACAGAATTAGAATAATTTTGAAATCGATGGAGACATACTTTGGAAAGATTTAGAGTTGAATGTTGAATATTATGAAATTCTGAAAGGGAGGAAAACGGAGATGGGAGAAGTGTGAATGGAAGGAGGGAGAGAAAAGAAACATAAATAAATAAGAAAATGAAATATGTTGATGGAAGGAACAGAAGATGTTGGAGGAGATCCAGGAGAGATATTAGAGGTAGATCTTGGAGTTCAGCAGGAAGACTCCAACACATATGGTGAGACAGGATTGAAGCTGGAGAAGATGAGGTTGGAAGCAGGCAAAAGGGCGATAAAGTACGAGGATGGGTTAGATCAGAGGAGCGACTTTAAGATTTTGGGAAAGTATTGGAGGGAGGTTAAGACTGGGATGTGATAGTATAGACAAGAAACAAGGAAATATTATATCAGAGTAGGAGAAAGGACTTGGAGGATAGAGATAGCGATGTGGAAGGAGTTCGAGAGTAGATATAAAGATGCGAAAAAATAGGACCAGCGTACTCAGATGGAAGAATGTAGATACAATAATAAGTATATAGTCATAATAACGGAGGAAATTGCGGGGTATTTGTGCGGGAACGAAGAGAGAGCGAACTTGGGGTACGAAGAGAAGAAGTGTAGATACGGTGGGGATGATTGAGACACAATTAATCATATGCTGAGATGTGACGAGTTGCGGAAGGTAGTTATGGAGTGGGAACACGTACTGGAAAGAGATACATTATGTATTGTAGCTATTGTATTTTAATTGTATACAAAAAATAACAATGAAAGATATTACAGTAAAGATAATCCGAGTCCACATCATCCGAGTATCCGTATAATCCGAGCTGTATCTTTAAAAATGTGGTTTCCGTTTAAATCGAGTTGAATACCTTATGATTTCGTATAATCCGAGTTTTGCGAATTTTAACGTGTTGTTATAACTAGTAAAAAACGTGTTCGAAATAACTTCTCATCCGATACAGTTCTAGATGAAATTGTCACTGTGTGCCACATATTTGTGTATAGTGCATGGCAAATACGTAAAACGAGAGTAATTTTTGCAAAGTGTATTTTATGTACAATAAAAAATACGCATAGAACAAGAAAACTCACAAATTTATGTTTAAGTGACAAATTAAAGGCGTAAAATAAATTAGATGAAGCGTACTGCACAGCAAAAGTTGCTGAAGAGTATGATATTGGAAAGGTTACAGTGGGCGATTAAAGAAGAAATAAAAAAAAATGAGGAAAGGTGTTCAAATAAAGATTCGCACTTTAGCAAACGTAAGTCCATGAAAAACAGTAGCCATGAAAAAGTGTCGAAAGCTTTGTTTTTATGGTTTATGCAACAAAGAAAAACAGAAGCTCCTGTTTCAAGACCCCAGCTTCAAGGAAAAGCTATTGCTTTTTATAAAGAATTAGCTACTCCAGGAGAAGAAAAGTTAACATCCAGTATAGGACGGTTAGATAGGTAGAGTAAACGTTATGAGGTACAAATTAAGAATTTGCGGCGAAAAGCTTTTCAAGGAAATTGAAAAAATTATGGAAGATGAAAATCTAACACATTACCAACTTTATAACTGTGATGAAACATTTAAATTTCAAAATGTTACCTAATTCATCTTTAGCTCACAAAGAAGAAGCAGCAACTCCAGGATTCAAAAGAAGTAAAGAGCGTGTAACTATTTTGGCTTGTAGCAATGCTACTGGGCGTCATAAACTAAGACTAATATACTACTTAGTTCATAAGAAAGTCTGCTAAATCAAGAGCATTCAAAAATGTAGCTATGAGTACGCTTCCTGTTTATTACATGTGAAGTGCAACACATGTTTATTTCATGATTTGTGATGAGGAATTCTTATTAATTATTGACAATGCTCCATTGCATTACAAAGATGACGACCTTCAAAGTGGATATTTTAAGTAAAATTCCTTGCTCCTAATATAATATTTATTATCCAGCCTGTGTATCAGGGCGTATTAGAGACATTAAAAAGAAAATACTGTTAGAATCTATTATAGAAAGTATAGACGAAGGAAGAACAATCGTTGAAGGCTAAAGGGGAATTAATGTGAAAGATGTAATTTACAGGGTGCCCATTATGTATGGAATATAGTATATATCTTGGTATATAGGTATCAACTTTATAAAAAAACATTTTATACAAAAGTTGTTTAATATTTTATTTGCCATAATAAGACAGCATTCAATTGGTTTTATTTCAGAAAACAAATGAGCAACGAATAACACTTGAAGTTTTTTAAATGGCAATGTACCTTTTCGTTAGGTTCATTTGATTACGTCTTCGCAAAGAGAAAAGTAATCTCTATCAAATGAGCCTAACGAAAGGGTACATTGCCATTTAAAAAAATTCAAGTGTTATTCGTGACTCATTTGTTTTCTGAATTAAAAACAATTGAATGCAGTCTTATTATGACAAATAGAATATTAAACAACTTTTGTATAAAATGTTTTTTTATAAAGTCAACATTTACCGAGATATATACTATATTCCATACATAATGGGCACCCTGTATAAAGTAGCTACCGCCTGAAAGGACATTTAGTGTGCCACAATAGAGAAATCATGAAAAAAAACATGAAAATACTGCATTTCAAATAAAGCTTTACATGAAGTAATGGTTAGTTCACCAGGATGCGAAAATGTTACTGTTAGTGAAATTTATTACTGTGTGATGTACCCTATTTTGTCAAGAATAATAGTAGTAATGTTTATTTTAGATGATGTAGCAGAATGGATTCTTGGATTGGAACTAAATTCTTGGTGAAGTTAGTAAACCAGCAGAGCCACTTATTGAAGACGATGGTGAAGAACCCATAGAAGAAGAAAGTGGTCTTGAAACTAATAATACGCACGGGAGCGTTTTCAAATTATTAAATGATGCTTTAATTCATATTAAACCAACTAGCGACTTTACTGTATATAGAACAACCTTGAAGTTTTCAGCTTGTTAAGCAAGGGTTGACAAGATGGGGCTGAGGGAAAAGTGGATTGAAAAACAATTTTTGCAGTTCTGACATTACTTGCTTTTGTCTCTTGCATAAATGTTGGTCATTGTGTAAAATAAACTTCATGGGTTGCCAAAAAATAGTGCATATGCATTAATAGTAAGATCAGTGACAATGAAACATTGTATGAAACAAGCACTGCAGAAAGTGATGAAAGGAAGGATAATTCAGAATTCCAATGCCAACAGTTAATTCAGCAAGTCCACATAAACGAACATAACATGCAACCATGTATATTAACGAAAAGTTTCAACCAATTAGGTACAGATCAACAAAGAGAACTGTTTTTTCCTTTATTTGAAATATTTCAATAAATTTATGAGTAGGATTTTATTCTTAAAAAGGTTAAGCCTTTTTTGAACTTTGTCAAACTTCTAATTATAAAGATCTCAGTGGAAATCACTGTTATGTTTCATTAAAGACTAAGAAGATAGAATTTCTGTGTCAATTCTTGAAGACTCTATTTTCCTTAACTATTACATCTAAATCAAAGAACATTAAAATAAATTTTTTGTGTAACAGAGATTTTAGATTTGTAAACATCCTCATATTTCAGCAGATATCATCTATAACACAATCATCAATATAATATCGTTTAATAACGTTGATTTTAACACAAATAAAAAGTTTAGTCAAAATTTATTTGCAAATTAATAAGAAATTGGTAAAAGAAATCAGTTATTGTTTGCTAAGTTAGAAAAAATACACACCTTCCCCCTTCTAAAAAATTGCACACATTATCATCCCTTTTAGATACTAGTTGAAAAGTCTCTTTAATTATCTGCTGTTGCATGTCTTCGCTCTAAAATAACAGAAAAAAAGAATAATTTGCAACTTGTCATAAACATAACCTAAAATCTTACAAAGTACTGATAAAACTTGGATAGTCTAGGTTTCCCATGGTTATTGAACACTAATATAGCCTTGATCATTTTGAAATTTGAGTTCTTTATTTGAATGGAAGTTTTCTTAATGCATTTCAACTGAAAAGTTTAGGAAAACACGGTAACGTCAAATTGACAGCAACATTTCTGTCATTTAAGTAGTTTCCGATATTATCAACAGATGGAAATGTAACATTAAAAATTTAATTTAATGTTAAATAATATTGAATTTCACGTTAAGATTTAAAGAATTCTGTTTTAATTGTGTTTAGTTTTAATTATGATTAATTAAAAATTGTAAAGACTATAATAAATTATTTTTTAATTGGTGTAAGTTGAGTTGTCTACACGAAAGGCATCCCCACCACGCGGTTTAAGATAAAAATCAAAAGCTATCTCTAAAATGGCGACGACACAACACAAGCCAACGTGATACTGCGACAGTGTGCGGTACATACGCGATAATTGCGTGTCGAAAAATGTGTTACTTATAATAAAAGTTGCGCGTTTCGATGTTAGTGTTCCTTTAATAAAATGACTCGGACAATTTGTGTGAGCTTTTCGAGGTCCCGACGTATATTTCTCTTTCTGGTAGCTTCTGTGTTGTCAACTATAGCAGGTAAGAAAACATTATGGTTTTTTGACTCAGCTTTAAACCCCAAAAAAAGTCTTAACAACACCGGATTTTATTTTATTTATTTGTCGTTCAAGAAAAATTTAAAACATAACAAGTTGACGTTCGAAAAACGAGAAGATCGCGTTTGTTTTTGAATTTGTCTTGAGTCGCTTTTTTTACAATTTTTTGTTTATGTTTACAAATTTATTTTTAAACTGCGTAGTAAACGGTTTATGATCGAGAAGTATAATTTAGCAATAAAATATTAATCGCTATAATTAATACGTTAGTGGTATCAATTTTTCGCTAATTATAATACAGGGTGTATCAAAAATAGTTTATTAATTGTAAATTCGATGTAGAATGTGATTTTAACGTAAATTGTAATTTTCAGTCATTGTTGGATTAGAAAATAACATTTTTAAAGATAACGCGAAAGTGGGTTGAAAATTGTTGTTAAATTTGCGATTTTTTGCATTACTTTTGAAATGCTCTGTATAACCAATCAATATATTATTATTACTTAATTCTTATCAAATTCTAAGATAATATTGCAAACAACTATTAATGTAAATTAAGAAAGTATGTGTCAAAATATCGTTACTTAAACCAAAAAATAACTTTAACTAATGTTATTACACAATTCGTTTCTTACTTACTAATAGGTATTGTTAAAGTATTAATTATGTTGTCAATTTTTTTATTACTTTTTTATGAGACTCTCGATTTTTCTAATAACTTACAAGAAAATGCTTCAACTCAATTTTTTTCCAATAAACATAAAAATCTTTATGGTTTGGGTATGTAATAACTCATTCATATAGTTATTACGATGTTCTTTTGAGTGATTGAATTCGAAAGTTAGTTTTAACAAATATTTTCTCCAAATTAAATGATATTATATGCATATCATATATCATTCTAATATGTCTCGAGGTAGAAATTGGCCGTTTTTGAAGCGTTGCTAAGAGCAACCTTAATTTAATGTACATTAACTTTGCTCATAAGCGGAGTTAAACCGTTATTATGTCTACACGGATCTTCTTCCTAATCACATTTATCTATAAATCCATCGTGTTGTATAATATTGCTTTACCGATCTAAATCTAAATAACATTTTGAAAGTGATCGTTAAGTTATAGTATAGGATATCCTAGATAATCGGATATCTTAAAAATAGTATGAGATACGAACTTAGTTATATAAGATACTTGTAATGTTAGCGCATGAACAAGCACAGCCTTGTTATCATTTATAAACATCAAAATTTAACTGTACTCGAAAATTATAGAATTTTAGGTATATATAGAGTGCTTTTTATTAATAATGACATCATTAGTATGTTCTGATAAAGAGTGAATAACAATTTAATACATTAAACATGTTTTTCTTCACTCATTTTTAAAATATCTGTTATTAAATCAATCCTTTTTACATTTCAACAGTAGATGCCAAGCTGACTTAATTGACTATCAGTCATTAGCAGATACTCCTTCGTGAAACTCTTCCTCTGTCGAAGAAACAATCATCACAAATGTCTGGAATCACGGTATTTCTGTTGATAAAAACAGTACAGAAACACATAGAGACATGAAATATGGCATACATTTTGCGCAAACAGTCATCATGGCTGGAGAATTGGACGTTCTGCAAGGACGGCGAGTCCTGTTGGAATATCCAGGGGCGTCCGTAGAACCTTGTAGACTGGCTCCAAGGAAGTGCTTTTTTCATCAGAATCTCGTCAAGGTACTTCTGGGAGTCTTGACTCCCTAATCCACAAAATTCAGCGGTGTCTTCCCGGTCGAAATCACTCCGGTCCAAACCATGACCTAAGCGGTATGATCCCTTCGCGAAACGTAGCGACCACCCTCATTTCCTTCTTAAACTGTTCGCGCGAGAATTCTTCGTTTTGGCGGTTGAATATTTGCCCAATCATGGATAACATCTCGTCGGTGAAAAGTGTTTCATAAGTTCGCGACATTTCTGAAGACGAGTGGCTTTCATCTGTTCCGATCAAAACAAATTTGTAACACAGATTTATATAAAACAATACATCATGCTTTTTTAAATATTGATTTTTATTCAATTATTCTTTCGACACAATCCAAATATATAAAATGAACCTGAGTTAAACATTGCTAATTCATCTATTCAGTTAAAGTGTGAGTTGATGTTGTGAAGATAACAGTAAGTAAATCTAACATAAAACTAATCAGTTCATCATGTCGACATATGATTTAGATTACGTATTTTGTACAGAGACATGGCAGAGACTCTTTTTAAATGCACTCGGCTTTTTTCGTTTTGTATGATCAGGGCAAGAATGATATAGGGATGCAGCGTTGTATGAAAAGGATCTTTTATAAAAAGACGTATTGTGAGCAGGTATGGATATGGTATGTTTGCGTCTAACGTTCATATTATGTACATCTGTTTTAAATGTATTTTTTCTGCAGAGATACGGTAGAGAAGACAGAAATATCACTCTATTAACTAAACATGAAAAATGATATTTGAGCCTGTGTCTCATATTGAGCCAATTAACTTTGATAAGGGCGTGCGAACCTCGTTCAAATTTACGAAACCAAAAATAAATCTCAAGCAAGTATTTTGAACGCGCTGGATGCGGCTTATATCATACTACGTCAGACATGGGCCATACACGGTGCTCCATGGACAAAATTAGAAAGCACTAAACTGTTTCTTTGCAGTAAAATCCAATATGTGAGAATGTTGCTAAATGCATCTAGGAGCACAATAGGATTTTTTAATACATTCCGTTACATGATTTATGAAACGCAACCTTGACTCGATTACTAGTTCAAGATTCCTTACTTCTGGAAAAACTTGGGTTTAAGTTACCGAAACACTTTTTTTGATTTTGTTGGATTTAAATGCAATAACATTCTATTAGAATAATCAAGTAGCTATTTGAGATCCTCATGTATAAGCGAGCTGGTCGAAGTAAGAGCATATCTTGGAAAAGAAATATACAGCTGAGTGTCATTAGCATACATGTGAACAATTAAGTGTTTAATACATGAAAGTATTTCGGAAGTGTAATTTGACAAAAAAATGGACTCTATGGCACACCACCATTAATAAGTAAAGAGGTAGAGCATTCATTATCTATTTTAATAACTTGGCTGCGCTCGGACAAGAGACTCGAAATCAATCTGATAGTCCAACCAGACATTGCAAGGTAATGCAATTTTGATATGAGTATCTGATGGTTTACCTTCCAACAGTATTAAAATACTACATAATTCTTTATCTCCAGCATTTATTATGTCATCGGTTACATTCAACAGTGCAGTGTCGCAACTATGATTAGTACGAAAACCAAACTGTATGGAAGGTAGTATGTCATTGTCATTTATATATTTACGTAACAGCGTTTCCAGCCTCCTTCTTCAGCCTTCTTAAAAATGCACAAATCCTTTGAGTCTTTAGTAACAATAACATCAGCATGCGAGCAAAATGTCACATTTATACAACGAAGACGAACGAAGTTATAACATCGCAAAATTAAGCTCTCGGACATTTTTAACACTCTGAAGTTGTAGATTCTTGAAGGTGTTGTGTATTCTTGCATATAGTAGGGTTTGTTCAAGATTTTACGGGCTGTAATTGAATCGATGTAGTGCTTCACTTCATTCTGGAGAGAATTTATTATACAACGAATGATTCAACGAAGTATCGATCGTAGCTATCTCATGGGAGTTTATCTTATATTGGGTTGATGTTTCGTCATATACGAATGATAATTATTAACACTTTTGACAAGAGAATTGTTCCGTTGTGAATCTCCGGCAGATGTTACTATCTTCAGTTTAATAAAGAACTATTTGTGATGTGCATTAAAAATACTATTTTCTGCAAAACAAAGATTTAGCTGGGCACGTACACCCAGTTATTCAAACATTTTAAAGCGTTAATCAACCGCATAGTAACTCAACCAGCTTCTTTAAGAGCATCATCAATAATAATTAAATAATAATTGATTTTAAAAATGTAGCATTTAAGGCAAACAGAATCAAGGAACGACATTTGTCATTATTCAACTTAAACCAGTTGGCATTAATCTATCAGCTTTGACATATTCTACCTAATTTCCAAAAAAGTGGAACATTTAATTTTTAAATTAAACATTGATACATATGCATAAAAGGGGTTAAAATCAGGCTTTGAGTCAATCAGCATTATGAAAGCAAAAAAGTGTGCAACAAACATGCTGGACGCAAAATTAGCGTTCTCTTGTCCTTTCTGGAACAGATGGTTTCTTGAAATTTATGCAATAATATACTTAATGATTTTCGTTGCAATATTTGGCCTTAATTTTTGGTAATTGCTTTACACACATTTTGTTTCATTCAATTGATTGATTTATAACTTGTTTTTTAAAATTATAATAAACTACTTTCTATATATCTCATTTGGCCTCATAAAACCGTGTTCAGTAGAAATTGTATAATCATATGAGAAACACGATTCTTTCCTGGAATAATAATCATGAGTAATTTCAACGCTACCGTTACAAAAATAGTTATTTAAATACTGATTTAGTGTCAATTTAACCTTGTTTATGGCGTCATTGTAGAAATGATTTTTGAGTAATCATGATAATAAGGTACAACTTGGAATCTCATTAGCACTATTCACGAGTACCAAGAACTTTGCGATGTCCTACGGTGGTCAACTTGCACACATATAGTCGCTTTTAACCTAATAAATTAGTACCGCACATTCAGAAACCGTGTACCAAGCGTTAGACCGTGCAGTTTAATTGCCAAAAGTTGCAAATGAGGTTAAAGCCGTGGCTGCGTTCCGATTTCCAACTCTATTGAAGGTTTAACTGTATCGCTTTCGGCGTGTTTGCGATCTCAAAGTTCACACATTCAGGGTCAAATACGTGGTTCGAAAACTTTCCTCAATCTTCTCGTAACTAAGTTTCATTTCGTCTATTGTCATCGGCTGGTAAATGTAACTACTCGACATTAAAT